TTTGTCATTGGTATTATTAAGAGTTATACAATATGGATATAATATGGAGAAATATTAAATATTCCAATTATGTCAACAACATACAATTTTAAAGAAAGACCATAATTTAAAGGAGATAATATGTGATGTTGGCGAATTTTTTTTTTGAAAAGCACATGTGTACGATTATTTGAAGTCTAATTTTGAGTAACAATTGTACCTAGGATGCAATAATTTTACAAAATTATCATCAACTTTAAAGTTGTTTAGTTTAAAAGCAAGAAATAGATGGACAAATAAAAGTTTCACAAAATTGTTAAAGTTGTCGAAGGAGATGCTTCCAGGAGATATGTGTTACCTAATCATAATTATGAGATGAAGAAGATACTATGTTCAATGAGTTAGGAGTATAAGAAGATACACACATGTCCTATTTCATATTGTACATGAATGATTTTACTAAATTAAATATGTGTCTGACATGTAAATTATTGTGATTTAAAAAGAAAATTAATGGAAGTAGTTCTAAAAAATAGATATATGACCTCCTCGCTAAGGTGTTATGGTACTTGTCAACAATACCTTAGTTTAAAAAAATTGTTTATCATAAAAAAGAATGTAAAAAACCTGATATGACATGCAAATGATAGAAAATATAACAAATGTCTTCAATATTTCAATTGATTCTCCACAATGAATGATGATTTAAAAAACATTTCCAGAATTTCATGTAGAGTCAATAAACTTGAGAATTGGATTACCTACAATTGACATGAATCCTTATGGGAACTTAAGTAATAAACATTGTTCATGATTATTTTAGCACTCTGACAACCGGGAAAACACATAGATGTGTATCTTAGTCCTTTGATTGATGACTTAAAGATGTTTTGAAAAACAAAAGTGAAGGTCGTTGATGCACACCGTGACGACAATTTTAAGTTGTGCATAATGTTATTTTATACGATAAATGATTTTTTAACATACGGTAACTTGAGCGGTTATAGTGTGATTGGTCATTATGCGTATCCTATATGTGAAAAAATACAAGTTATACCCAATTGAAACATGGGCAAAAGAAAGCGTATACTAAACATCATAAATTCCTAGTTCATAATCATCCACATTGTAGATTGAAAAAGGTATTTAATGGATGTCAAAAGTATGAAGTTACACCGTCATCGTGCAATGGTGAACAAGTATATGAGCGGGTGAAGAACATTAATATTGTTCAAAAAGACGCAAAAGAAGTTCACTGAGAAGAACAATTTAAAGAAACTGCCAATAATTTTTAATCTTCCTTATTGGTGCAAGTTAGATGTTAGATACTATATACATGTGATGCATGTATAGAAAAATGTTTGTGATAGCATAATTGAGACATTGCTCAATATAAAAAAAAAAAAACAAAGATAGAGTGAACACACAACTAAATTTGACGGACATGGGTATACATTTCGAGTTACATCCATAATTTGTTAGAAAACACACTTACTTGGTTTCAACTTGTCATACCCTATCAAATAATGAAAAGAAAACATTTTGTGAGTGTTCACGCATTATGAAAGTGTCATAAGGGTACACTTTGAATGTTAAGCGTTTGGTATCTATACGAGATTTGAATTTAGCTGGTTGAAAGTCTTATGATTGTCATGTGTTGATACAACAACTTTTATTTGTGGTTATTCAAAACATCTTACCAGTTTCTGCTATAATTATTATGAATCGATTGTGTTTATTCTTTACTACCAATTGCAAGAAAGTAATTTATCCTCACAAGTTAAATGAGTTGGAATATAAAGTAATCACAATTTTGTGTTAATTAGAAATTTATTTTTCACCTTCATTTTTTATATCACGGTGCATTTGATAGTTCATTTGGTTAAGAAATTCAATTGTGTGACCCGATTTATCTTAGATGGATGTACTCTGTTGCGAAATACATGAAAATCTTAAAAGGATATATGAATAATCAGTACCAATCAAAAGTTTTTATAATGGAGAGGTACATTATAGAATAAGTCATTGAATTTTGTTCAGGTACATGTCAAAATCAGAACCAATAAAAATTCTTATGAGTCGATATAATGGAAGGTGTTAAGGTAAAGGTACTCGTAATTTAAAAATAATGTGAGTAAAAACAGAATCGACCAAACATATTTTTATACATTAAACAACATTAATAAAGTAATCTTTTAAATATCGCAATGCAAATGATTGAAAAATAGGTAATGAATGAACATAACAAGAGTTTGATGGCTTGGTTTAAGAAAAATGTATATGATGAGCTTAATACTTCAGATACACTTTTGAGACTCACCCGTAAGCCTAACAACAACATAATTATATTTGGTGGATATAACATTAACAATTATTGTTTATATTTAAAGATAGAAAATGACAAAAGTATAGTACAAAATAGTGGGGTTATAATTCAGAATGAATTTGTGCACTTTGCTAGTTTGAAAGACAAAAATCTCATTACAACATCCATGAGTTATTTTTGGGTCATACAAGATATATGAAAAATTGATTATATTACATTCAGAGTGTTTGTGTTCAACTATAAATGGGTTGATGACAATACACATATGCATAAAGATAATATAGGGTTTACTTTGACAAATTAAACAAGGTAAGTTATAAGGAAGAACCTTTTGTTATGACGTATCAAGCGAAACATGCACGAAACATGTAGTGAAAATTAGTCAGTGGTCCTTAAAGGAAGAAACATGCACGAAGTTCACCAATACGAGTTTCTAGATATACATGAAACATGTCTTTTTCATGTAAAATATTTGATGTTGTTGTCGATAACAAAATGGACGATATGCATGCTATTCGAAGTGATCATGACGAAGGAATATGAAAAAATATATCAATTTAATAAGTGTTTGTTTATTACTTTAATTATTGTTATTAATATCATGTATTTATTTTATTGAAATCTATTAATTATATTGTTATTATTTTAGGATTATGGTATATTTAGAGTCTGAAAATGAAAAGAGTAGAGAAAGATTTGTCACCCAATTGATTGATTCGTTGTCTGGAAGAGAATACAAATTGATGCGGATCCTTGCTTTGAGAATGTGTCAAACCTGTATGATACTAAGTTTAAAAACTATTTAGAATTCATAACTCAACCAATGTCATGTTTTTATTATTGCTCTATCATGGGATGAGGTTCGCAAGACAAAAAAAATAAAAATCCTCATATAATAAAATATTCAAATAAGACATCATCCAACATAAATTTTGATGATTTTTTTTTTAATTTATCAAATCTTTTACTCGATTTTTTAATATCCCATTAATAATTTAAAGTAACATAAAATATTCAACTATAAGTAAAAAGTTTGTTCTGTCTATTTTAAAATATTTTAAAAGCTTTCATTTTATAAAATAAATCTCGTGTACAAAGTTTAAGATTTTCAACCGTCAAAATAAAATTTCAAATTATCCAATCAAAACTATTAGAAATATTTTTAAGACAACAAGATATGGTGTTAATATTCGTAGTGTTTTAAAAATATTATAAATAAAAAATAATAAAATTATTTTTGTCGAGTTTGGACAAATAAACATTATTAATATCATAAATAATTTTTAATGATATGAAATTTTATATTCACAATTATTGATTAATATATATCATAACTCTTATTTGGACACAAAAGCAAGAACAAAAATGATAATATATGAAAAGTTACTATAATTTTCAATATATAGAAAAATATTATATATAAAAAAATAAAGTATAAACAATTATTATTATAACTTGTATTTATATAATTTTTTAAAGTTATTTAGAATTAGGTAAAAAAATGATTAAGCAAAAATAAAATCATCTTAAAGTGTAAATTTTTTTCATAAAGAAGAATAAGTTAGTAAGAAAAATATATTAAAAAATAAACATTTAAGCAAAACTTCCTGAAATCGTTTAAGCGATATAATTTTTTTCAGCTACAAAACAGAACTATAATTCTCATAACAACAATTAAAAAATCTCTCAAAATATTAATCAAGTTTAAAATTATTTTATAACGAAATCACGATAAACTAATTTGCCTCAATGTTAGCTAAGGTAACGAGATACAAACTCATATAAATAATTAATAATTTATTAAAAAATGTTTAATTAGGTTAATATCTTTATATTTAATACTTATACTGGTTTATAAGTTTTACTTGTTTAATTGATATTTGACACGTTTATTATTTATTTACTGTTTTATACAATACTTAAATTAAAATAAGACATATTTTTACATTATAGTTAACCATCATTAAACCTTAAATAAACATATATTTATCGAAAAATAATAATGTATAAAATATTTGATATATTTTCACTCTGGAATTAAAGGTTTGAAAAATAATTTAAAATAAAACACGTATTTGTGAAGTTTTAATGTTGCAAGATTCTTGGTGTTTTAAACTAACAAGTTGGTGTAACATTGAAAATCAATATGATGCATTATGAACTATTCAATTCAAACAATGGGGGGCTTCATATTCAAGTTTGTAATATCTTTTCACAACTTGTGAAGAAGAGTTATTCAAACTTTTCATATTATTATTTTATTATATATTATTATATTATAACAAAAGAAAGTAAAAAGAGTTCACATTGGTTAATTAGGTGGCGTTAGGACACCTACACTTATTGACTCAACCCAAATATTTACGTTTAAATAAAATGGAGAGTTTTATTATTTATTATATTAATCTTATATGTATTTTTACTTAGATTTAATCCCCAATAGTTCCAATTATTGCAATTAAACTTTTACTATTTTCCCTCCTATCTAAACTTTTCAAATTCTCAGTTTTTCTTCTTCGTTTTTATATTTTGTTTGGTACAGAAGTTTTTTATGAGTTAACTTCAATAAACTAAAACTTACTAATCAAAACATTGTATTTCACCTACAATTGAGAATGATCAATTTTCTAATTTTAAACTACAAGATTATATATTTTTTATATATTTCACCAGATTAACTTGTAATACCTGAAACATGGGGCTTGCGTATGTTAATACGAATTTAATCCATAGTCACATACTATGTGAAATTATTTTATTGAAAGTGAAAATTTATATTAACGATTTTTATGTTTCAAAGGCTAACATTCTTTAATTATAGGTCAAGAATTACGACATAGTGCATGCAAAATAAAAAAACATAAGAATGGAAAATGAAATCAAAATTAAAGACATTCTGACTTGGTTAACTCGAGATTAATTTAACGTAATAATTAATAATTTTGATTTGATTTTTTATATAAACATGTTTTATACATCTAGGAGAAAATTTTGAAAACAAAAAATAAAAAATGGGAGAGAAGAGCATGATAAGAAGAAAGTGGAAGTGGACGCCTTGAATAGCGCAAATCTGCCACGTGGCATGAAGAGGTTTTGCTTTTGTTGTAGAAAAGTACAATGATTGGGTAAATAAATTGCAAATGTGAGGTAGGGCGTTGTGTGCAGTGCCGTCTCTGGGTTGGGAGAGGAACAGAGGAAGAGAAAGAGTCAGTGCGTTGAGCGTGTGCGTCACAAGATAATGGAAGGTGACCGGAAGCGGTTCAAGCCGCGCCTTGAGCGGCGGAACGCCATGAAGAACATCGATTACCCGGTGAAGGAGGATGAAGACACTGATATCGACATAGACATAGGTCGTTTGAATCAAAGGAGTTTCCGAGTGAAAGGAATCGACGGCGAATTCGACCGAATCTTTCGGAGCCTGGGCCTGTCTGGGCCTGAGGACTTTGCCATCCCAGCTGCGGCTTGGGAAGAGGCCCAGGCCCTTAAGGCCCGCAGCACCGTCAACCTTCAACTCGAACCGTTACAAAGTAAAAAACAGAGAGAGGAGGGAATAAAGGGCGTTAGGCCTCCCGTTTTGGAACCGCCGCAGGTTGCCTCTGCTTGGAACTCCCAGCAACACGCGGAGAGGGACCCACTTTCTTATTCCGTATCACGTGACGATGATATTGACGTTGTTGTTGAAGCTGAAATTGAAGAGGTTTCTGCTTTGGTTGAGAACGACTCGTTTGATATTCATAATCTTTCGCCGAATGGAAACGGGTATTTCCAGTCGTGGCAAAAGGGCGAGATCTTGGGACGGGGCTCCTTCGGAACTGTTTACGAAGGCTTCACCCAGTTAGTGCACTATACTCTGCATTCTCTCTCTTCCTTCTTGAACTTCACATGCATTATAGGACCTAATTCAACTTAACGAAATCAACATCTAAAGAATATCATAATAAATACATTAGCTATATATTACTTGATGTAAAATCTCTACAATTTTTACATTCTACTGGTACGGCAGATGCAAATAGTCCATTTAATTATATCCATTTCCAAGTGCTGTTTTCGCAGAATTAACACATGAATTTTATCTTCCTTGCAGTGATGGGAACTTTTTTGCTGTAAAGGAGGTGTCTTTACTGGACGACGGAAGCCAGGGCAAACAAAGTATTTTCCAACTTCAGCAGGTGAGAGGAGTTGGTCTTCCCTTCCATCACACAAACTTCATGTCATAATCTAATTTCCTGTCAAACCATACAAATATTCCTTATCTGTTTGTTCCATGTACATAAGCATTTGGTAATATGAATATTTTTGGTCTCCCAGGAAATCTCTCTTTTGAGTCAGTTCCGACACGACAACATTGTTCGATATCTTGGCACTGACAAGGTAGGCTCCTTTCTAGTTGACAATTTTTTTATGTGGGTCATGCTAATAAATGTTCACTTTCAGCTTAAGTGACTTGTTTATCCAAAATATTAACTTAACATGCCTTGTTAGTTGTCTCTCATTGTTTAGGTGGTGCTCCTTGAATTATTTATGTTATATAGGAGTAATTGCATTTCAAGCGTTTTCTCTTTGTTATCTGTATTTATTGTCTTGTTATTTCTCAGGATAATGATAAACTGTATATCTTCCTTGAGCTTGTAACAAAAGGATCATTGGCAAGTCTCTATCAAAAATATCGTTTAGGGGACTCTCAAGTTTCTGCATACACAAGACAGATTTTGAGTGGCTTGAAGTATCTTCATGATCGTAATGTGGTTCACAGGTAACACGAGTGAACTTCCTATCTTGATGCAATGCAACGATTATACTATAATAAGTGCAATTTTATTTTGGCGTTTTGGATTTTGATTTCTTCTCTTGTATCCTGAAGAATCTATTTTAAGCTGCTATCCACTTTATATGACTGTTGAATCACTGATAATCAAAGTTGGATGCAGTGGTTGGAAATTGATGACAGAAATATCTCAAATTTACAAGGACTGCTACATTCTAATCTTTAATTCATCAAAAATTTTAAATTTTAAGGGACATCAAGTGTGCCAATATATTGGTTGATGCAAATGGGTCCGTCAAGCTTGCAGATTTTGGATTGGCGAAGGTACATTTCTTGAACAAAATAAACGTTCTCAAGTCAGCATCTTTTCACAGCAAATTCCAATGCTAACCACTTGCAGTTATATTGTTTTTTTTTTCCTTTGCAGGCAACCAAGTTGAATGATGTTAAATCAAGTAAAGGCTCCCCGTACTGGATGGCCCCTGAGGTTGGTCTCTCTGCCTGTAGCATATGTTTGACTAAGTTCCCTTAATTTGATGAACTAGAATGAGATGGATCATATGACTGTCTTATTCAGTTTAGCACAAATACCAAATTTTCACTTGCCTCAATGATAATTTTTAATTATTTTATAAATGGACATGCTTCCACTGAGTTATTTAGAACTGCACAATCACCATTTTCAATCATTTTTAATTTCAGAATGTGTCTAGAATAACTTGAATTGTTGGATCATAGGTTGTTAACTTGAGAAACCGTGGATACGGACTTGCGGCCGACATATGGAGCTTAGGATGTACAGTCTTAGAGATGTTGACAAGACAACCTCCTTACTCTCATTTGGAAGGAGTATGTCTAACATTTTACAATTTCTACTATCAGCTTTTATCTGCCCTCATTTTTTATATTTTTCTAGATTCATTTATTAAAGGAACTCTGAATTTTTCCCGTGACCATTTCTTGTCCACTTCTTTAAATGATCTCATAGTAGTTCAACCTACTTGCCTCCTTCAGACAATACAAACTGTATCACATACCTGTAAGATTGGATAAGTGATGATGCTAAATACTTTATTTTTATTTGTTACAACAGATGCAAGCACTATTTCGAATTGGCAGCGGTCAACCTCCACCTGTTCCAGAATCTTTGTCAAGAGATGCCCGAGATTTCATTCTTAAATGCTTACAAGTTAACCCAAACAAACGGCCAACTGCTGCTCGACTATTGGAACATCCATTTGTAAAGAGACCACTTTTATCTCCCATAAGTCCTGTTTCTCCGAGTATTAATCTTTTACTGTCTTAAGAGGGTCTGAACCATCTATAACGTTGGCATAAGGAAGATCAAAACCATCCACTATTTTTTATTGTTTACTTTAGCAGAGTGATTAAGGCCTCAGGTTTAGACTGGTGTGATACTTGGGAAAAGGTAGGTAGTTTTGCAGATATATCCGAGTGTTGGATATTACATTCTAAAGCTTATTTGGTTATAATCACCTACATTTGACTACCATGCTGGTCCCTGGTGACGGGTTTTGTGACTGGAGACGTGAAACGGAGAAAAAGGAGACCGGCTCCATTTCCAGCAGATGATCTTATGCTAGTAGAGAGCTATATTCTTCTGGTCACGTTTCTTTTCCTGCAGCTTAGCCTTTTGAAATTCTTTTTGTCGAGCAATAGTTATTAGAACAATGGTTGCTACACAGGCATGCTCCCTTGACATGTGTAAATAGTTAGCTAAGAAAGGGAAGTAGCTACCAAACGGAGGAAGTAATCCTTATTGTATTGATTTTTTGAACTTTTCTCTTTATAATTAGAGCAACAGTGAACCTCCTGGCTTAAGCTTGACTATGTATATAGCTACTTTAATCAAGGTTTTCAAGTTCATGAGAATATAGTTACCTTAAAAACTCAGAAAGTAGCTTAATGCCTTTTGTGACCGATCATTGATGACTACAAAAGAAGAGTTAAAACTACATAACTGGGAGGTGACGTGACATGTAAGAAAGCAGCGAATATTGATGGAAAACATATATAAAAATAAAATTAATCTCTCCCTCGTTTCTTCTATCTGCGTCGCATTCTCCATTGGTTTCCGTTATAACACAATGTTCTGCTAAATTGGGGATTTTGGTTACTCTAAAGTAGCAATAACAACCGTGATTACAAAATCAATTAGAATTAGTGATATATATATATATATATATATATATATATATATATAATCTTATCATATTTTTAAATGGTTGATTTTGCAAATAATGGTTATATTATACTCTATTGTCGAAACTGCATCTCGAAGAATTAAATTTTCGATAACTGATTGTCACACCAACTTGAGAATTTAAGTCAAGCTAATTAAATTGGTTCAAATTTTAATTCAATTGAATCCAATCTAAGTCAATTAAATTAAATTTTGATGATGACAGTATCTAACTCGTGATTTACAAATTCAATGAAATCAAACCAGAACAAGATGTGTTTTTGTTATAACTGATTATTATATACAAGTCCACAACAATATAAAATATACGTTGGTTATCTCTTTTAATGATATAATTATTCGTACATTTTTAGACAAAATTATGTATTTTTTTTCTTCTTAAAATAGAATTTGGTATACTAACCCATTATTAATAAAGTTGGTTTAGTTTTTTTTTTTAATATATATATATATATATATATATATATATATATATTAAATCTGATTCAATTAAACGTAATAAAAATTGATTAGTTCATATTTTCTTTTTAATTTGATCCAAATTGACCCATAAATACTTCTCGTATATTTTTCTTTTCTTTTCTCTTTCTATCACGTCATATAATCTATAATATTTATATATTTTTCCTTTTTCTTACTTCAAAGTGTTTTTATATTGACGTCCAATTTTATTTTTTTTCCATTCGTTTTGTGTGGTTGGCAAGGTTGCATTCAGTGTAATAGTTATAGAGCCAAGGTTGGCTTTTTTTAAGCGGTGAATTTGTTTTTTAATTTACTAAAATAAATAAATTTTAAAAAAATTACAAATCGTATTGTTAAGAAAAAAATCGTGCACAATTTAAGTTTTTACATTTTATTTTTTTCAAAAAATTATTATGATTTTTATATATATATTTATATAGAATCCGTATTATCGAGTAGCTATAATTTTATACTATAATAACTTTATTATATTATTATAATTAATAAATATATTTTATATTATTAATAATAAAATAAATAATAATAATAGATTTTATATTATTATTAAAATGATTATTTATTTTATTATTTTTATTCATATTATATTATTATTAATATTAAAATAATAAGATTTTTATTATAACTTAATATAATTATAATTATTAATATTATTTTTGTTTTATTATTAATAATAGAATAATATTGATAATAATAATAATATAATTTTCGATGTAAGTTTAACTATTATTATATAACGATTGATTATTAATAACTATAATTATTATTAATAAATAATAATAATAATAATAATAATTATTATTATATTTAATAAAGAATATTATTCTATTATTATTAATACTATAATAATAATAATAAATAATAAAATTATATTTATTAAAAAAATTAACTTATTATTATTTTTGTTTTTATTTTATATAATTATATTATTATTATTAATAATAAAATAAAAATAATATGAATAATATAATAATATCAATAATTATAATTATATTATTTTAGTACTAATAATGATATAATATTAATAAAATAATAAAATAAATAATGATATAATTTTATTATTAATATTATAAAATCTATTATTATTAATTACAATAATATAATAATAATAATAATTATTATTATTATAATATAAAGCTCGAAACTATATTATTTAGGATGACTTTTTTTTAATTTGAAAATTGAAATAAAGCACATTTCTTTATATTAAAGTGATATTATAAAATAGACTTACTGTAATTTTTTTCCTAAATTTTACGTGAAAAAATCAGCTAATGTTGTGCAACGTCATCTGTTCACAATATCCGTCTTTCTATCAATTTACAATAAGTACGTAAAATTTAATTTCATAAATAATATATTTAAAAAATAACATTAGTTAAATAAAATCTTGAGTTTATTTATTTAATTAGATTTGTTTATTATTTATATACAATATTTAATAATAAAAAATAAATTTGTCTGAAATATTATAAATATTTTCCCCTCTTTTCTTATTAATTTTCTTATTTTTCTCTTCGTTTACTTTTTTTTCTCTCTCCATCTTATTTTATTCAAATTTGATAACGTAAGTATTTTTTTTATTACTCAAAAAGTTTAAATAATTCAGAAATACTATAATTGAATATATTAATATATTATATTTGAAAAAATATTATACAATTAATTTGAGATATTATAAATATTATTATTGTTATGTTATAATTAATAAGAAAAAATTATTTTTTTTAAATATTTCTTTAATAAATATTTTAAAATTACTAATTTATTTAATTATCATGACTCAAAATATTAAAAAAAATTACCTAAATAAAACATGTATTAATTTATTTATAAAAAAACATGTTTACTGTTTACTCATGATTTTTCTTTTCTTTGTAATTTTTTTTCTCTTTCTTTATTATTATTTTTTTCTATCTTACTTCTCTTATTTCTCTCCTTTTTCTTTTATTTTCCTATATTTTCCTAATGAAATTACTATATTAAAATTTAATAAAAATATATTAAAACAAACTAAACAATATTAATTAATTATTTAAAACTATGATGACAATAAATAATTTTATTTAAGATGATATAAATAATTAATTTAAAGTTACTCTATCATAATAAATAATTACTCATCTAATTAAAAAAATCAAATATTTATAAATTAAATATTTAATTTTTTTCTTAATAATTATAAGATAATAATAATAATATTTGTAATATCTCAAATTTATCATATAATATTTTTTCAAATATAATATATTAATATATTCAATTTCAGTAATAAAAAAACTTATATTACCAAATTTTAATCTATTATTTTCAATTGAATAATAAGATGAAGTGAAAAAAAGAAAAAAAAAGGAAAAACAAGAAATAAAGAAAGAAAAAGAAACATAAGAAAAAAAAGAATTTTTTTTTATTATGTGAGATAAATATATTTTTTCTTATTAAATTTTGTGTGATCTAATTAGATAAATAGATTTTAAAAGATTTTATTTAAATAATTTTTCTTTTTAAATATATTATTTATGATAATAATTACTCAGGAGATTCCCATCTCAAGTAGAAATTAAAAACAAACCATAAAAATATTTATCTGAAAAAGTTTGGACCTCACTTCTTCTTTGTATTTGGAGCCTGCATAAACCAACTTAGAAAGTGATTTTGAGTGTCTTCTTCACTTTGTTTAATCCCTTACTGCAACTTCAATTTGGATCTTTTTATAAAAATGAAATTCTTCAAGGAAGGTAGAATTTTCATTTCAATTGAAAGGGTCTTGTGGTAGATAATGCAACAGTGGTTGGTGGTTTGTTTGAATTCACGAACGCCGCTTCTCCATGGTGGTTTCCTGGAAATGTTGCAGCAATTGGTTAGCAAACACATGCTTTGGTTTGGTACGGTTGACTCACTTCACACCTTCATCCAATTCAACACGTACTACGCTAAGCTTATTCTTCTCTTTTCTTCTCTTGCATCTGCCTAGCATCTTCTCAACTCAATTCTTATTCTTTCTTTCGTTATATATGTGTGTCTTCTGAGGTACATTATTACATTATTTCACTTGTCAAATGGGTAATGCAATTAGAAAATTTGACGCGGCGATTAAGAGTCACAGAGATTCAATTTTGCGGAAAGGAGAATCCCGTGTTCGTGGTTTTGGCTCCGCAGTAGACAGTGCCAAAAGGAGTAGGGCCATGCCTAATTCGGAAACATCCCCTGTCCATGGATTCGATTCGGCAGTGGACACGGTCGTAAGGAGTAGGGCTACGCCAAATTGGGAAACAACCCCTGTACATGGATTTGGTTCCGCAGTGGACAGTGCCATAAGGAGCAAGAGTGAGCCAAATTTTGAAACAATCCCTGTCCGTGGATTTGGTTCTGCAGTGGACAGTGCCATAAGGAGCAAGAGTGAGCCAAATTTTGAAACAGTCCCTATCCGTGGATTTGGTTCTGCAGTGGACGGTGCCATAAGGAGCAAGACTGAGCCAAATTTTGAAACATCTCACGCTGTTTATAGTTATGGTTGGGTAGTGGACAATGCAATTGGGAGTAAGATTGCGCCAAATCCCCCTCCTGTCCATGGTTTCGCTTCGGAAGTGGAGCATGCGATTGGTAGTGACGTTGGTGGTGGTGAAGCTGAAAATGAAATTGAAGCGGTTACTGGTCACGATCTGGGTCCCAATAGAGATGGGTATTATTCAGGGTCATGGCAAAAGGGCGACATTTTAGGGAAGGGCTCCTTCGGCACCGTCTACGAAGGCTTCACCGAGTTAGTATTCTCTGTTTATGTCATCCCTTCTCTTTCTTCTTCATATGTTCACAAATTATTCTATTTCTCTTAGTTATTTTTACGCAAATACAGATTCATGTTATTTAACATGTTTACATACCGATTAAATCAACAATGAAAGGTTAAGATTAAAAAATAAAGATATGTAACTTTCTAAGGTGAGTATATACTAACTTCTAATCCTAATCGCCCATAGTATGGTTGAAATTTACTCTCCTCACGCACTAGTATAAATAATTTTCTTACTTAATACACCTATATATATATATATATATATACATAATGTAGAATCATGATATCTAAAGAATGTATGTACTACTTTGATAAAAACATCTCTCGTACATACACACAATTGAGGTTAGTCTATTGGGTCATTGAAATCTTGCTGATAATATATAAGCACTGACTATTAGTTAGATGTGATGTTGAGGATTTTTTCTGCGGCAGATTTAGTTATGAATTCTTCTTCACCCATGACTGATAAGACAACGGAGTCCAATTATTTTTATATCACACCACTGTGTAAGTTGCACGTAGACGATTTAATGGTCATCCATTTCCTAGTGTTTTTGTTTTCAGAGATGACACATACATATTCTTTTTCCACAGTGATGGAAACTTCTTTGCTGTAAAGGAAGTGTCTTTGCTGGATCATAGAAGCCAGGGCAGAGAGAGCATTTTCCAACTTCGGCAGGTGTTCCTATCAAATTTCATTATATAATTTGTTTTCTCATCAAACCTGTCATTTTCCATTTTATACAGATGTATTTGATTATGAATAATTTTGATCTTCCATTCAGGAAATATCTCTTTTGAGTCAGTTCCGGCATGACAACATAGTTCAATATCTAGGCACAAACAAGGTATGTTGCTTTCTAGCTGGCAAGTCTATTATAATTTGTGTTGAACGTGTTTAGTCTGTTTATCCAAAACTGCCTTCGTACTTGAGATTTAACAATCTTTCTTTACTTCCCTGAATATGATTATGATGTGTTGTGAAAGAATAATTACACTTTTGGGAATGCGCAATGTAAATTATCATTATGTAAATTACCAACCTTTTATTTGGCCAAAATTTCTTGGTTTATTAAACCTCTTCTTGAAAATATTGAGGCGAACGTACAGAAGCATATACTATTTGTTACTTACCAAGATTGATATGTCACACAATGTAGCTTTATTTTATAAATAAAAAAAATAAAAAAAGAAAGAGGAGGGAATGAGATGCCACGGGGATGAGTTAAAGTATTTTTTGTTTTTTCATGTACCGTGTAAGTTCATAAAATGTTTTTTTTGGTACCTCTAAAGTTGACTGAGTCTGTTTGAGTCAAGAACTGTAAATGCACATTAAAGTTGCACAACTAAGCTTTCCTTCTTACTAGATTCTTCATTCTCTGCAGTTTTACAGAACCAATACTGTTCCCGCAAAATTTTCATATGTTTAAAATGATGCATTAGATCGTTCATAGACTATATATATGAATTCCTTCTGAAATCTAAGGATGATTAGTTGGCTCTTTGATGCATAATTACTTGGACTTTCTTCTGTACATGACATGGTTCTGTATCGTTGTTTAGGTGGTGTTCTCCGAACTGTCTGATTATATTACTTAGGAGTAATTTCATATCAATTGATTTCCCTTCTCTTTTTTGTTATTTGTATTTACATTCCATTATTTCTCAGGATAATGATAAGCTGTATATCTTCCTCGAGCTTGTAACAAAAGGATCATTAGCATTTCTCTACCAAAGGTATTGTCTAGTGGACTCTCAAGTTTCTGCATATACAAGGCAAATTTTAAGTGGCTTGAAGTATCTTCATGATCGTAATGTGGTTCACAGGTAACATGAGTGAGGTTTCTATGTTGATGCACTGCAACTGTTGTACCTAGAGTAAAAGTGCTTGCTTCAAAACACAAGAAGTCCATTTTTTATTTTGATTTCTTCTTTTGTATCATGAATATTCTATTTTTAAGTTGCTCTCAATGAGTATGGAAATCACTTAATAATCAAACTTAGATGCAATGATAATGGGAAACGAATGAGTGGAATAATTTTGAATTTACATGGACTTGCTACATTCTAATTTTTATTTCATCTAAAATTTCAAGGGACATCAAGTGTGCCAATATATTGGTTGATGCAAGTGGGTCAGTCAAGCTCGCAGATTTTGGTTTGGCAAAGGTACCTTCAGCGAAATCCACTTTCTCAAGTAAAAATCTTATAGCAAATTCCAAATCGCTTGCAGTTATATTGTTGATTCTTATTCCTTTTGTAGGTTGCCAAGTTGAATGATGTTAAATCAGTCGGAGGCTCCCTGTACTGGATGGCCCCTGAGGTGTGTCTCTCTAATGTTTGATATGATTCCTTTAATTGGTTGTCTAATTTAGTTTGGCATATAAATACCAGTTGTTTTCACTGGATTCAATGACATAACTCTAAATTATAAAATAGATGGATATCATGTGCTTACACTAAGCTTCTTATACCTGGCTGCACAATCACCATTTTCAATAATTTGTGATTCATTGGATCGTAGGTTGTTACAATGAGGAACCATGGATATGGACTAGCAGCCGATATATGGAGCTTAGGATGTACGGTCTTGGAGATGCTGACAAGGAAACCCCCTTACTCTCATTTGGGAGAATGTCTGCTGGATGCACAATTTCGAATTGGCCGGGGTAAACTTCCACCTGTTCCGGAATCGTTGTCAACAGATGCCCGAGATTTCATTCTTACATGTTTACAAGTTAACCCAAACAAACGCCCAACCGCTGCTCAACTATTGGACCATCCATTTGTAAATATAAAGATGTAGAGCGGTCATCAATATTTATTGCAATGCTATTCTTTTACAATCGTTTATGTTAAAACACATACGAAAGAATTATATCAATAAGAAGAATTTATATAGGCGGGTGATTTAAAAAATAAAATAAAGATAGATCACTTTCAGTCACATCATTCGTACATCATATTTGTAACATTCCTTCCATTTTTTTTTAAATTTCACAAGAAAATACAAACAAATTAAAGCAGTTATTGTTTTCACACTACGAACTAACAAAGAAGTAACATATTTCAAAACCACAGCACAAATGTTGGTAGTGTATGCCTGAGTCGTAGAAAATTTGAGGCTGCACCATTAGAAAAGGCGAATGAGATATTTGGCATATAGATTTCCACAAAGGATCTCTGATTCTTGTGAATTGAATCTAAGCGAGTAACATGACATGAATCAGTTCGTAGTGTATGTATGCCTAGGTCGTGGAGACGGTGGGTGAGAACACAGAATGGAAGAAGGCCATCAAAAATCATAATCATGGTACTAAACCCAAATCCGAAAACCTATACATTTCCACATGCAAATCACTCAACCACCCTGATCCAATCCATCTCCCCCAATTTTGGTTTCCAATGCTAGACGAGAAGATAGAAAAATGGTTCAGGGTGAATGTTGGGAAGATTTCTAGAGAAAAGGGTGGTCACAAGAAAATGACTTAAAGATTTCTAGGGGGGTATTGGGTGTGAAAAGACCAACGATATCAACTTGATCAAATGGCTAAAATTGATGATTTGCAATAGTCCATCTTCATCCTGAAACTAAAAGAGATTCTTACAGGGGCAAAAATTACAGAGATTAAATGGAAAAATATCATTTAAACCTTAACTTTATAACACTAGTCGCTAAAGAAGTTTTTGTACAATTGGTGTAAGTCATAAAGCTAGTCTCTCTTTTTTTTTTTTTTTTTTCAATATCTACCTCTCCCCTACACGCAACTGAACTGAGACTGCAGCTGCAGTTTCTGATAGCGGCCTCCTTATCTCTGACATTTTGGACCCCACATATTCTTTGAATTTTGAGATTGAATCAACCAATTGAAAGTGTTCGCTGGCACGCATTTTTATTTCTTCTTCACTTTGTTTAATCATTTCCTGCAAATTCAGTTCGGATGTCTTGACAAAAATGAAATCCGTTAGATACAATATCATTACGTAGATCATACATATATCAGTAAAGAAAGGAAAAACACATTTATGTCTACATTCAAATTTCAAAATGTGTTCTGTTATACTTATCTTGATTCAACAAAAAAAGGTACATATTTTACTTTGATTATCTCCTGTTACTGAACCTGGTGGTGGTTTGTCCGGCTTGATTCACCTAGAATCATCTAGAACGAGTACACACGCATGCAAAAGCTCAATCTCAAAATGAATGGATTATTGGATTCAATAGTGTGCAAGCTAAGAACGTACTTTCCCTCTTAACCCATAAGCACTTTGACAAAGGCCATGTACACAAACTAAGCAAAACATTCAGACTCATTTGTGAACGGTATGAATAGGAACCCAAAGAGAAAAGAAGATAGAAACACAACAATACAGAGTGAGAAATAGGATGGCATGTTAGATAAGAATTAATTCAAAAACTAAACCTGGAAATACTGAAACAGGCTTATAAATGTGAACAGTATAATTTGATTGCCTCTCCAAACTTATTGAGACGCAACAACAAGAACAGCAGACACATTCTCCATATCTTGAAGAATTCTTGGCATTTCAAATACAACAGAATATTAAAGAAATGAATCACAACAAAGGAATTACCTTGAGAACCTCTGCTGCCTCTCTTTCCATAATGTCGATTTCATGATCTGTTAGCTGGACATCCTCCAACATTTTCTTAGCTTCAGCATAACATCTACTTGTGTATTCCTGTGTTTCCTTCTTTCTCATGTTCAGTTGAGATTCCATCTGGCAGATAAATCCATAAGCAGCAGAAATGAAGGTCAAACAGAAGTCATCACAAGGAAAGATTACTCCCTTTTTCTTGCGTGACATGCTTAAGTCATAGAACAATGTAAGCATGACAGATAATTTTTTATTTAAAAAAAAAAAATGACAAAGATGAAAAAAAAAAAAATCTTACTGATTGCTACCAACAAAAGGGTAAAATATATATGCAATGGCCTGTACATTTTACAACTTAGAAAACGCAGACATCAATGCAAAGTACTGCTAACATCTTAACTTTTTAGTATAAGTGTTACTCTCTCCGTACATAAAGTTTATTATCATCAAAGCCCGGCCAATAGTACCAAAAAAATTCTCCATCCACCATTCCAGGCATAAAACAAATTTGAAACCAAAACTAGTTCACAATGCAGTAGGAGATTATACAGACCAAGTAACATTATTAACACCCGCCAAACACAACACGACAATGCACTTACTTCATCAATGCGTAACTGCACTGCTGCTAGCTGATTTCTTCTCCCCTCAAGCCTCACCGCATTTTCACCCGACTTTTGCTGATAAGAAATGGACTCCTCCAGTTTTTCCAAAGAACTTTTTTTTATTTCATCAGCAAAGGATCTAAGCGCAGGCTTCAGCATGAGTTTGTGATCAATCCCCATTATCTCAGCAGGAGTAGTCCCCTTGCCATTCAAGACATATTGAATTCCATTCCCAATCTTCAACCTACAACCACTCAATCAGTAACATTGGCATAAGGAAAAAATTGAATTCTAGACACACCACAATATCAGTTAGCATCAAACACAATTTACTTAATAATAATTATAACATGACAGTGAATGACGAAAATGGTGATAAAAATATGACCTCCTAAGGGCTTGATTGCAGTCCAGAGCGAGAGCTTCTAGGTCGTTGATTTTGTGCGAGATAGTGGTGTCGAGATCCCACGCCTTCTCTTCCCACGCATTCCTCGCGAGCTCAGCCTCCGCAATGTCCCTCTCCACCGCCTGTAATTCTCTCTTCATTCTGTCCACGTCCCTTGCATTGAACGTCTGCGCCTCCACGCGCCGCTTCAGCTCCTCGTTCTCCTCGCAGATCCTCTCACTCTCCGCCTCCTTGGCCTCCACCTGCTTCTCCTTCTCCGCGACAACCTTCTCCGCCTGCTCGATTCGCGACGATAGTTCATCGATCATCTTGTGGAACTTCTTTTCGTCGTTCTCCAGAATTGCCTTCTCCTTCTCCAGTGCATCCTTCGGCGAGGGCGCTGTCCGGAGCCGCTCGAGCTCGGCCTTCAGCTCCGCGGCAGAGTGCCTCACCGCGTCGAGGCGGTCCTGTGCCGCGGCCGTCTGGTGGTGGATCTTCTCCCGGATGCTGCAGTCAAGTTCCTCGACAGCATCGTCGTCGCCGCGGATGTAGTGCATGTAGCTGTTGACAGTGTATTGGTAGATGGCGTTGTGCTGTTTTGGGGAAGAAGAGATGTGGGAGTGGAATTTGGCGATCTGGACAAGCCAGTGGATGAGAGCGAGGAAGGTTGGCCATTGGTGAGGCGCGGCGGGGGACCGGAGAATTGATTTGTTGAGTTTGAAAGGGTAATTGAGACGTTTGAGAAGGAAAGGAAGATCCTCTTCGAGTTTGGAGAAGGGGAAATCGAGGAGGGAGAGGAGGAATTTTAGGGTTTCGAGGATGTCTTTTGCGGAGGGGGAGGTGGTTTTGAAGGTGACTGAGAAGTTGTGGGAGGAGAGGAAGGAGTTGATGGTGGAAACCACCGATTGCTGGAACGAGCGGTCTTTGTAGAGGTCGAGGGTGGGGCGTCCGCCGACGTCGACGGAGGATGGGCGACTGCTGGCGTCGGAGTCGCGGGCGGGATACTGGCGGTGGTGGAAGTCGACCGGAGTTGGTGGTGGCGGGGGAATGAAGGAGTCTTTGGGTTGGCGACGCGCGGTGGGTCTCATCGTTGCACAATCGATTCAAATTTGAATTTGTGTTATGTGAGCGGGTGCATGTTGAGTGGGGTGGAGTGATAAGTGTGGTTGTGCCCTGGCTTCATATGTATCACTTGACACAGTAGATTTAAGATTATTAAATTTAACTTCCTTATGTAAATTGAATAAAATAGTTAAAGTTAAAATGAAATAAATAAGACATAATTTATTTATATGGAATAGAACATACCTATTTTTTTCTGTATAGTTTAATAAATAAATATGATATTATATTTAATTATTATATTTGCCAGATTTAAATTAATGATTTTTTTAAATTTATTCAATTATTGAATATATTTTTTCGAATGAAATAAAAATATAACAAATAAAAAATATAAAGAGAAAAAATAATGTATTTTCTATTTTTTATTTACATAAAAATCACGTAATTGGGATACTTTAATAACTGGTAATATTTTAGATGAGTGCGAATATTTTCGGCAAACAATTTATTACAAAAGTAATACAATAAAGAATTTATTTTTTAATTGAAATAATAAATTTTATGTTCTAAATCATCGAATCTAAAATGTACTCATGTTTCTTAACAAGAAAAAAAGTTATTTAATGCATGAGACTTCTTTGAGATATTATTTACTAACACTCTGCATTGCAATTTCGCTGGTAAGATAACGTTTAAGGCGACTATTATTTATTTAACCATAGTTCGAACCTTCAACGTAAGCATCTAAACTTCAATGAAAAATAATGTTTCTAATGAGATATCCATCTATTATGTATACAATTTTCATTACCAGTTCATCAATACATATGTACAAATTGAACTCCTACACAACACTGTTTTCCTCTTTTGCAGCATTCGTGGCAAAGGTTGTGGTCCCATGCGTGGAACGACCTAGGTACCAACTGCCTTGATTAACAAGAAAACTTACACAACAAAGTGTTATTTCATCAAACAATGGACAGCCTATGAAAGACTCGATTAGTCATCAAAATCCTTCTTGGAGAGAATCAAGACTCGGTTTGAATGCCCCCTATGCAGAGGCAAGAAAAAAATAAATTAAATAAAGTTTAAAAAATGGAACTGTTGCAAGGTTCTTTACTTAAACCCTACAACAGCGGTCGTGAAGGTGACTCCTGTGTTGGGATAGTTAGGCAACATTCCTTTTCCGCCAAATTCCGGTAGGAACCCCGTAACATACTGGAGATGCCCCTGTCAAGAAAGGTAGAGTGCAAACTTCCCGCGCCTGACCCATGAAAGCTCCAATTTTGCGTCTGTGGCCACAGTTCTTAGGTGATTCGCTCTCGGTTAACTCTGGTATTTTCTTCCGTGGAGCCTTCCTCTTTGCTCTACCCTTGCAGCCCTTCAAGTTCATGGCCTCAAATTCTTCAGACAGTAAGTTGCATTGAAAACATTCCGATGGCATATCTGATCTTTCTTTCAACCATGCATCGAGCATAGCCTTACCAAATCGATCAATATCCTTGTCTGTCACTTCCCATAGATTGCCAACAATTGCTGGAGAGCCAGCCAGCAGATACGAAAGGGGAATGCCTTGCGGTGCATACTGACCAGGTATGGTCAATGAACCACTACTGCACCCCATCAGAAGCGTAGCAGAGCATTTGTCCAGTTTCTGAATTTCATGCCTGGGAATGTACTGTGCTCCTGTAAAAACATACTTAGTCATTGATATAATTATAGGAGCCATAGGGATTCACACAATATTTGTCAGACATAAATATGTATTATGTAAAACATTTTACCACTTCCATGCCCAAAATATATGAAAAGGTCGTGACTTTCCAATGCTGAAGCCAATTCTTTAATGGTGGGTCTCGAACCAGCCTTTCCCTGTAAATAACAAACGATAAAACAAAACCTACTTATGAAGAAGACTAACAGATAAATCAATTAGCAGGGATATAAAAATCTATAATATTTCCTCCCTCGTAGTCTCATAAAATTCAAACTGCTACACTACCTCCAGGTTTTGATCTCTAAAATAATTCTCAAATTCAGTCTGAGTGCCGCTGAGATCACCATCTGGATTTACAAGATAAAAAGCATCCAGTGGATCTATCAAAGGGAAGGACACTAAATTCCTTCCTATTGGTTCCTTATGGTCGCCGTCTTTATGAAGAACAGCAGAAATGCAGCTCACAGAAGGCATTCGATAAACCTCCTGGTTCCTTAGGATGGGCAAGTTTTCCCAAGGAAGCATCTGTTGCAGTAGTAGAACTTGTTATTGATGTCAATTATAAAAATAAACACATTAAGAAATAGGTTAAACCAAGTATAGCTCAGTTTTGAAAACATTAGCTAAAATGACATTTCCTTGGAGCTATTGTTTTTCTTAAAACTAAGGCACAGATTTCGATTAGCAGATTAAAAGGACCATCAACCAAGAAATTACCGAATTGGAAATAAACAATTTGATCATATCTGTTGAAAACATTGCTGTTTAAAATGTCACTTATAAGCACAAAAATGTCAGTTGATAAAATCTGAAAGTAAGAACCAATAGTCAATTTTTCATAGGGGGTTGAAATGAATTTAAAACCACAGAAGCCTTTTTATTAAATCGAACATCAAACAGTAGACCATAATGCTTAAAATTAATTCATAATTACATAGTAAGCGGGTCAGAAACAATTCACTTACCTGCACCTCATGATCCAACACAAGAATTATAGGTTCTCTATTCAAAGAGTCATCCACTTCAAGCACATTTAATGCCTCACTTAATAGTTCCAAAGCATTGTCCGACGAGATTCCAAATTCATTGGCGGCATTTAGCAATATCCCCTTTCTTGCTTCATCACAATATCCTACTTTAGCAATGTAGCAGTCTTTCTTTGAGCATAGTCGTGAAACCAATGTTTTCCTATCACAAACATATTTGGAGCCTCCAAGAATAATTCTAAGAAGGCCCTCACTAACATCCAATTTACATCTAGATCTTAAATTATTCACAAGATTCTTTAGCACCAAATCATAATTTTTGCAGTTCAACCATTCTCCAAGAAGTAAACATTTCCATGAACCAAACCACGACTCTTCAAGGTTCCTAGCAAGATATGACAATAACATAAGAGAAAACATTTAATTTCTTAAATTTTAAAACTACCACTACCAAAGACGATGATGTCTATGTGTGCAGTGCTATTTTAAAGTTGAGCTCATTAATAAAGAATGGATAAAGCATTGCATTGAAAACACACTGTTCAACTACAGAATATGCAGTGCACATTCTTAAATCAAAGTGAAAGCAAATCAACTTATGAAATTAAAAAGATGCATGCACCTCAGGAAATTATCAAGACGGTGATCAAGATTCTTTCTCCGCTTCCACCATACCATCCTATTCTCCGCTGTATCTTCGAAAGGAGATATTGTTGACAAGTAATTTTCTTCTAAAATTGTTTTGAATGCTGGAGCCACATCATCGACAACTGTGAAACCCCATGGGCAACACCATTTTTCACTATGTTCCTCACTCTTCGGAAAAGTGCCTGAACCAGTACTCAGATCACCCTCATCTGAAGATAGTGATTAAACGTTTCAAATTACCTTGTTAAGTTCGTATGGTTAAGATTAACACTTATATCAGAGTTGGACACATGTGCTTAAAGGAACTAAATACCTTGTAAAACAGAATCAAGTGGCATTAACACTACGATAGGTTCGTTCTTAAGACTCAGTCTAGAAATCAGCATCCATGCTCGAACACGTGTGGGATAAGGCAACAATTCCTGTAGTAAACTAACATAATCATGTCCAAGCAAACTTATACTGATTATAGTTGTTGATGGAAGACCAGCGAAAAATTTCTTCACATACTCAGCAAGATCTACAGTGGTATCAGGCACGAGCCTGCAACAAGGAACAAAGACATTGAGAGCATTGCTTCAAGTTATATGTCAATCAATTCTTTGTTTGCCTTATAAGGCAAAAAGAACAACTGCTACCTGAGTAAGTCAGATGTGCACTCTTTGATGCTAGAAGATCCCATAACATATGAACCCTGAAATTGTACTCATAATATTTAAATTTAATGGACTGTGCTTGAAAAGGCACAATACAGCACTGAACAAAAAAGAAATCTTATACACCTTTGTCTTATACTGACAATCGGCAATCATGTGAGTATAAAGTGTGCATGGATCTGGAATGCATAATTTACAGGGTCAAATGCATGTTTAGGGTTTAGGATTATCCATGAATGTGCATTACCTTAAATATCACATTCACAGGCCTATGTGGAAGAATTCGCTCTTCAAAAATTACTTCACTTGTCATGATGCTTATTTTAAATGCTATTTAATTGTGAAAGGCTGATTTGAAACAATGCTGTAAAGTTCTGCTAGAGCACAAATGGAGGGATGTCTAAAAGGATTGCAGTGACTCCTACAAAAAGAATAAGCATTTTTGTCCAATAGAAACACTCCTTAGAAATACTAGAGCTCACATTTCCCAAGCATTAAAGAGAATTCATTCTGTCATCTAGGCCAAACCATTATAGACAACGTAATTCATCATACAACATCGAAGTTAAAGGCTACTTAGTTTGTGTTTGTTTCTGCACCAATACCTCAAAAAATGGATAAAAAATGTGAAAAATCAGAAGCTAGTCCCTTGTAGCTTCTCTGTTGACATGGGTAACAGACATGAGTATTTTCTCATGCAACAATCAACATGTTACCAAAACAGGCTACCACACAACAAATTAAAATAACAAAAATCATATAATGACCAAAAATGAGAGCAAAAATTCAGGATTTCCCAATTGCTAAACCATTGCTTTTATTCAGAAGTCAATGTTCATAATGCATAGATAAATTTTTTTCTTTATATTGACAATGAAGAAGATATGCCTACAACATCATTAAGGGGTGGTGTACCTTGCATCTCCCAGTTGGATGTGAAAGAAATTGATAAGTAAGATGAGTTCCAATTGAAGCTTGGTGGAAATATGATGACCAATAATTTTCACCCAAAGCTTTGCTAAAAGACGACAGAGAAAATTGCTCACTCATTGAACAAACTACACACATCACAGCAAGTAATTTTGATACCTGTAAGAGTATCATCAGCACACTAAGGTCATAACCTGCTCAATTGGTGATAGGAAAGTAACAAAGGAAGAGATCAAAAGGCTAAGAGTCAGGATTCAGCAACTCCATTTGCATTCTATAATACACTTCAAGTGCTTTACGGATAATAAAGCATATCATTATATATTATATCAAATTTCTAATTTTCTTGAAGTTTACATTTAGTTAAGTTTCAATTACCAACATGAAAGTGGATAAACAGTATTGTATATGGAATGTGGATTTCAGCTACATAAATGAAAACAGTGTAAAAGGGCAGAGGGTGTCTAGAACTCCAAGGGGTTCAACTTTATTTCATGTTTCAGAATCTGCATGACAAGTAATGCGGAATACTATAAATCTTACAGCCAAGAAAATTATATAGTGTTCATCATCCTGAACTGTACGAAAAAAATAATTAAGTGAAAACTGTCACTGAATAATAACAGGAAGATAGAGATGTATGACCTTTCGAAAGATTACAGGAACGTCACGAGAAAGTACAAAAGCTACCATCAGCCAAGAAGCCAGATCTTCAAACTTTATGGAAGACAGATTACAGAAAAAGTTCCTGTAAGACAAAACCAGAATGTCAGAAGTTATAAATATAGCCCTTGCAAGATATTGTGTTTCAAGAGTACCACCATGATATAGCAAAATGCAAAACAATGACATTCAATGAAGATTTCATAAGAACAGAAGGGTCTGGCTGATCAGAAAATTAAGAAAATGGAACATTTTCTAATACAATATTCATGGACTTGTTATTAATCAAAAATGAAATTCATATTTTCTATCAGAAATCATCAACCCTGCATTTGAATAGAAAAATCTTGTTTAGGGCACAATATCTGCATAAAATTCAGAGACAATGAACGTTGAATATGCAGGGAAAAGTGGAGACTAATGAAGAACGCTCCAGGAAATACCTCCGACAACAATTTCAACCAAAGGAAGCTTATAATTAATATTTCCTTACTGATCTAGAGGGTATTATTTTTTAAGCAAGAAAATTGACTCTATAAATATAAAACCCAAAATGTCACACATAAACAACCCAGACATGTTAAAGAAACAGCATCATAAAAGATCTGATAATTGTCAGTTAGTCAGTCACAATACATCTAGTCAATGGTCAAGTACAATTTGGACATGAATATGTACATACAAATTTGGTTTTTCATTAAAAAAAAAAAAAAAAAAAAAAACAGGAAAGCACAACATATGAATCAAACTACTTGGTAGAATACCTTGCATGCTTGGAATGGTAGCTCTTCAAAGAATACCAACATATGTCATGAACTATTTCTGCACGTTCAATAGTAAATACATCTCCTGGGATCTCCCTTGCAACCAAATGATGAAAATAATCTAGAGGAATAGATAAAAACTTAGGGTAGAATGCGTTTCTGCTGACAAGAACCAATATGCTTCTTAGAAGAAATTTCCGTGTTTCCTCAATTTGACCAGTATGTGCAAAGCATTTCACTGCAAAGAAACATACTAGAAAATTAAAGACGTAAACAACTTTATCCAATGAATAAATACAAGACCAGAAACATTCAAGCAAGACAGAATTATATGATATAAAGCCAACTTTTTGCTGCAAATTGCCTGCACACCATATCCACAAATCTAGTGGCAAGCTAGTTAGTTAGTGGTGAACTCAATGCACTGCTGTAAGCTAGGAATATTTGTCAAAGGAAAGATAAAGCAATGTTAGTGCCTCATTATGTCTTTTATCTCCAAATTTTCCAATGATAAATAAATCTATAGTCTTACATGCATGACTATAAGCAGCATAGCCCAACAAGTTATATTTAAGAAAGTTCACAAAAGAAATACAACAAGCAAATAATTTCATCTTTTGTTGAACTGGTAACTTCGTAATATGTAACCCAAAAAAAAAAGCTGGATTGTTCAAATTTGGGAAGGCAATTCTCAAGAAATTTACCTTACTCAAAAAAATATGCCAAAAATATGCCATGTAAATGCAACTGAATAAAGGGCTTTATTTGAAAGAGCAACTGAATTTTAGCAGAAAAAAATTTGAGAAGAACCATATGCAGATATCTACTAAATGACACTTGCATTTACTCAGCAACTGAATAAAGAGCAGAAAATATGAAAGGACACTCCTACCTACTCGGCTGAGTAGCTTCATCAAAAGTTGCCTCCGGATAAACTCCCATTTAAGATGAATAAAATGACTTAGTAAACCAGATTTTACAACTTCAGATGGAAGACAGTGCCAACACCTCATTTCCGAGAAAACACATGTTGTTGCACACCTTGAATTAAAAGGACAACCTATCTTGCTCAAAACTGACCCATTTTGACTAATATCAGATGAGTCAGAAACGTTATTTCCCTCTAGAGTTTTAAGGACTTCTGACTTCCTGTAAATGCTTGTATCTTGGCTCTGTGCAGATCGATATCTAGAACGAGTCATCCTTGATTTGTTTTCAACCACTATGTTTGGTTCCTTTGCTAAAAACTTTGCAGAATTTTTAGTGTTTCTATTTTGTTTTGCCCCAATGTCAGTTCCTCGCTCCACATTTGTGGATTTATTTACATTTTCAGCTGCTTCTTTCATTATAAAGCAAGCACAAGTCTTACCAGCAGGACATTTTATATCTGTTGCAGTGCCATCACTGCCATCTTCAGGACAACTAAGAGGATTTTTCCACTCAGAAAGATCTAGTTTTTCCAGAGCTGATGTATACCAATTTTGTGCAGTCTCTTCAGACATAACCCCATCACAAGTGCTAAATTTACTTTGACACAAATCTCCAAGATACTCATACAGAGTAGCTTCAAGTTTCAATTTACACTTTGAGCAACAAAATGGTGTGCTGCTTTCCTGTAAAATCTGTTCAGCACTTTGAAGTTCCTTTTTCGCTAAATCCCAATCTCTTTTCTTAACATATAGTTTTCCTAGTAAAACACGCCACAGAAACGGAAAATCAATTTCATACCAATCAAAGAATGGAAGCTTATCAATCCAAATGGAGGAAAAAAGGCTACAACTTTTATACCTAAAGAGGAAGAGAAAGAAACTGTAAACAAAGGCAGCTTTAGTGAACAGGATATGGCTTTCCCCCACTTGAGATAGGTTTCAGCCTCAGCTCCATCTCCAATCATTTCATGAAGGATTCCTACCTGCAAGTGCAAATGAAATTGAAATAAGATGCATTACAGGCCTTATCTGAACATATGTACTTTCATATAAGAAGGATTATGGGATAGAAATCAAACCTGAAGAGTGCTCTCAAGATAAAATTGCATAACTTTCCATGCACTAAGATAACTGTCTTCCAAGTCCCATGATATAGAATCAAATAGAAAAATTTCCCTCGCAACTGATAAGTTCAGTCCAATATTCTCAACAGCATCCATAACATTCTTTGAGGAGTCAACTATAACATTGTCCTCTTCATTGTGCTGCTGAACATTATGTGTAAACTTCCTTTGGAAGAGTTTAGCAAGTAATCTATGAGCTTCTTTTGCAGAGGAAAGAGCCTAATATGTTTGAAAAGAAAAAACGCACTTTAAGTAGAGGGAAACAATGGAACTTAAAAAATAAGCCATAGATTAAAAAAATCAATACCAAAATTTGTCTTTCATTGGTTGGTCATTTGTAAGCACCATGAGTTGAAGCCTTTTCTCTTCAGTTACTACTAAACATTCATTTAATTGAAATTTTATCCTATCATATCCTATCTATTACAAGCAACAAACTGACAACAAATAAATAGCATGACTTGAAAGGACTAAGGAAACCAAGATTCCTTTAATGAAGGAAAGTTAGGTTTGATTTAAAGACAGACAACATATTCCCCATCCAACAGAAAAATAATTTTGATGCTCCAAAATTTTTATGCTTCGCTTTTAAAGAATGAAGGTCTGCTTGGGTGTAATTATAAAATGGGAAGAAGGAAATTGACTAGGTATTTGGACATAATCATGTTAATGGACATCATGATTTATTTTTTACATTCTTATTTCATCTCCACTTACCCAGTCTGAATATATCTTCAATGTTCATCAGTCAATCAAGTAAACCTTAGGCTAATAAGTTATGCATCTAAAAGTCCAAAACCAATTTCAGTTAGAAACAAGAACACCATGAGTTGAAAGTCAATCACAAATTGATCACTATTGCAATCTTATACACAAACAGTACCACTTAAGACTACAAAAAATGCTTCAAATAAAACTAGTTTTTAGTTTAGCACTTCAGAGAGTGGTTATCGGTAATATAAGAATTGATATCAGAACTAATGCTACTTACCTCTATTAACTGTCCATTTGCTACAAGTCTTGGGCACAAATCATAGAATAGACATCCGGCAAGAAATGCAGAATGACTTGGGACAGGAACCTAGGGGAAGATTAATAGAGAACAGTGATGATAATGGATGAAAAAGAGATTATGATAAGTTCTGTCTCAAAATGGCCTTACATTTGAAATCAGAGCAAGTGCTGCTTTTTGGACTTCATCAATTGTGATGTCTGTTTGAAAAGAGCTTCCATGATTGCAAGAATTCCTATGAGAGCTAGCAAATAAGAAAGAAAAATTCTGCTGAAACCCTATCAATGATGATTTATTTCCCTGAAGATAACGTATCCAAAAATTAATATTTGAAATTTCTCCGAACTCATCCAATGAATTTATGATGAACTCCTCATTAACAGGTGAAACACAGAGGGCATGACACAGACTTCTACTTTCCCACATTAAGGTCAACCATTTCTCAATTGGAATATTCTTCCATTTAAACATTTTAATCACCGCTCGATATGCATCATTGATCAATTCCATGAAACCCTGAACATATGCCATGGAATTAAGAAATTGTCACTGAATATTACACAAAAACTAGAGAAACCAAAATGATTAAAAGAAAGCAAACCTTCAATTGTAATAAATCAATTATGTTATAGAGTAGAATCATTAAACTGTCAGATAATGCAGAACAATCTCCCTCTTCTAAGTGATTAAGATGCGAATTGCTCAACCATATATCCAAAGCAGCCTTGACATCTTCAAATATTTGCTGCTTAGTGTATAAACCAAGATTAGCTTTTGTCAATAAAAGAAATTTACTAAGGGGGCAAAAAGAAGAAAATATGATTACAAAGAATTAGGAGATTAGAAATTCCCTCTCCAATAAAAAGAAAACATAAGCAAAAGAGGGGTAAAAAAACACTAATTGCCTCATCCCTCAACATATCAATAAGGGAAACCAAGCTAAGCCTTAACTAGGAAACTGTTGAATTTAATTAACATCATAAAATGATCATGACATCATCTGTGACAATTAACTGTCCATCTTAAAACAATAGCAATAATTAAATGATAATGAAAATTATCAGCATATTTTTGGTACCTCTGAATTGGCATCAGCTTCCTGTGTACATATTGCACGCAAGCAATATGTCACACACAGGTGATGAACAATGGGACTATTGTCAGTACACATCTCACCAGAAATGTCCTTCTGTTGAAGAGGAATTACATCATATTAATGGGAGATACATATCACACATAAAATACTTTATGAATAAGTAAGTTTAGATATTTGAGGGAAAACTGAAGAACCAAACAGCTTACCATAATAACTATTGCATCTGAAAGACACTGAATGCAGTCCCAGAGACCACTTATGCCCCTGACCCTGATTGCCTTTCCCTTTCTCACTAGAGTTTGAGCCATTTGAAAACGACTATCTGGAGCGATGTATATATCTTGCAGGAGAATACCTGTGATTTTCATTTGCATTTTCTGACATATTTCTGAGTATTTAAAACCCATCTCCTCATATGCAGTAAGCTCCTAAACCAGCAACAAGAAGAAAAAATGGACACAAATGACAAACAGAACCAATACACATAAATTTAAACAAATGGCAGCAAAATATGATGAAATTTCTACCCAAAGGAAATATATATACAGAAAGACTGAACCTGCTCCAAGATCATGGCAATATTCCTCTTTGACAATTGAATAGAAGATGACAGTAGGCAATACAAGCTAGGAGAATCAATTTTCTCATCCACCTGGGTAGCACGTTTACATTGTATCTGCATACCATACAACAATCAGTGAGACTAAATGTGTAAACTTAAACCAAAATGGGAAACCTGACAAAATACTTAAAAGTAAACACCTCAAAATCTTACCTTTACCCACTGCTTTACAACAGGTATAGGTACTGGAAGTCTATCAAACAAATCATTAGCAGTGAACCAGTTTTTAAGGATATCAACCATTTTTTTGTTTATCTTTAGATTGTTGACATCATAGTTAATATCTAAAAGAAGAGCACTTCTGGTGCAAGCCTCCATTACAAATTCTTTCAGAGCGCCTTCCGACAGATTAGCACAATGATACTTAATACAGAGCCATGAAGCTTTACAGCACAAGTTTAGCACCTTTGAAGCCTGCAGTGATGTCAGACACAAATAAAGGTAAAGCACTGAAACAAAAATATGACATTCTTATTATTTACTTTCAAGTACAACTCTCACATTTTCATTCTTTTCCATGACCAAGGTGTTAGGTCTGTCGAGGGGGATTCATCAAGGAGAGATAACATTAATGAGACATGAATCCAACTCATATAAGGGATTAACATCACCTTCAACCTAAAACCTTAAGACATTGAGTTATGGGTATTTCTTCCTTATATGTTACTTAAATTTTTCATTCTTACTTAATGTAGGACTTTAGACTCACACTTGGATTTCCCGACAATCTCCCCCTCAAATGTGAATCCCTTTACATTGGTACATCCCCTCAAACTCACTAATAACTCTTCCATGTACCATCGTTTATCATATTGGGACACGTTTACCTAACCCACTGTTAGAAAAACTTTTGATACAAAAATTTCCGACTACCACACAAACCATTGGTTTTGATTCCAGTTTTAGGTCTTTTAAGGGATATTCATCAAGGAGAGACAACACCAATAAGATATGAGTCCAATTCACATAAGGGGATTGACACCACCTTCAACCAAAAACCTTAAGACATTAAGTTATGAATTTTTCTTTCTTATATGTTATTCAATTTCCTTATTCTTACTCAATGTGGAACTTTAGACTCACTTAGATTTCTCAACACTAAATATTTGCATTTCTTTAATTTTGCAGAGTCAAAATAAATAGTAAGAAAATAGAAATCTCACATAACCGGTGGAGTTTTTACTCAGTTTAAGCATGTTTCCTTATCGATATAAACACTTTTTTCACCCATTTGTTTATTACTTTCCTGCATTTTTATTTCTTGGAACCTATGGAAAGTTTGAAAACCATTTTAAGTCCTAGCAAGTAGTTCTTTGACTCGACTCAAAGTAGAGTGCTCCTTTAGCACAAGTAACTGAGTAAGTTGGTTGCCTTATTTAAACCCCTAATGGCCTTATACAGCATGCATTGTAGAGTTAAGAAAATCAAACTCATGGACTCTTACTAGGTACCTTAAGCTTTCAGGCTAAAATAATTATGATGTATCAAATAAGATTCAAGGAATTGTTTTATCTATATTTCAATTCCTTATATTGACAGCTAAAATATTTTCCATCAATTGATAACACTCCTGGTACAATATCTCTTTTACAATACTGGTTTTCCAAATCCATGTCTAAGAGAACATGAATTGCTTGTGGAAACATCTCAAGAAGCAATATGTGTTTCTGTGAGATATTATCATTAAATGGAATATTTGAACAGAAAAAGGGAATGAAATACCTTTTCTAGTTGCCCATTTCTGTACAAAACTACAGCAATATTGTTGAGACAAGCAATAATGTAATTTAACCCTTCTGTTTCAATCCATTTGCTAGCAATAATCTGCTTAATTAATTGCTTGCTCTCCTGAAACAAATTCAAAAAACTAATCAGCCTTTAAAACACAAGATCCAATAACATTCTGGCATTCGGCCAATAGATCAGAAATTCAATAATCTATTGTTTAGTAGAAAATCCATTCTAGTAGAAATATGAGCATTTAAGAGTAACATGGAGAACCTGAACTTTAAGATTGGTTCTGATGGAAACGGTGAAAGCAGCTACAATTATATTAAGTACTGTTTTACTCTTTTCATCAAATCTATCCCCATTGTTTTTAGGCATGAAGCTGCAGCCAAGAAGAAGTGGAATTTAGAGATTATCCTAGAAAACAACACAACAGCAAATTCTTTCAAACTTGTTGAGATATATTATCTTCTATAAAAAACAAATAACAAAAAATAAGAACTTAGAAACTACTCAGTATTATTAATGTCACAAGAAAATTATGGTAAAAGAAGAGAACAGGTTCACTGGATATACTATACCTTGTACTAGAAAGAATAAGATGACAAAGTATATGGAATGCATCTTGGACAGTAGACATCATAGTCATATCCAAAGCATCATCCACTTCAGTAACAAACTGTTTCCTATCTGAATTAATTGATTTAGCAAGTGGTTGGCATAGGAATTTCAATGCCTCTACATAAACTGATAGGTAAGTCATAGAAGCCTCAATATTGAAACCTGATAGTGTCCATGGGATACCGGCTATACATTGGTCTTCTACTCTGGATGACATACAGTTACTTCTGCTGCAAATATTCAAGGAACCAAGCAATGACGGTGAATTCTGTACAATTTTCTTGTTTTCAAGTAAAGTTCCAAGCAAACACCCAAATTTTGCACTGCCTGATGATGCAACATCTCCAGTTCTGGACCTTAAATTACAACTAACAAGGAGCAATCCAGCAGCATAAAGCCTCATTATTGAATTAATGGGTGTCATAACCTGCCCAGCTACTTCAATCAAAGTGGAATACAGAATGTGGAGGAGAATAGCCTTGTAAATGAAACACGTACACTAGAAAAACCTTGATAGAAAAGTACCTCTTTGAAATGTTCTGCTGTTTTGTTCAAATATGCTGCAAATGTACTACAAAAGCTTGCATTTGCAGTTTGACATTTATTCACACAGTAATATACAAGTTCAGAAAATTCTGTTCCAGCGTTTCCTTCCTCAACCTGAAAAGATAAATATAATAGACGAATATAGGAGGAATAAGGGCTCCAACAAGAAAATACCAAACTTTATTTTTTCGATGGAAAACAAGCTAGTAAAAAAATATGGTCCTACCCAAAAAAGAAAAAAAAAAAAAAAAGAACAAAATAAGCCAGTAAATAATCTAAATAAGTGTAATATACAAATGATAGAATATTTAGCACCCTGAGTAGATTATATGATGATGGGCACCTTGCACTCCCGAACTATGCAATCCAGTATGCCCATGATATACAACGAATTATTATCCCGCAGTGCAAACAATGATGAACATATCCTGTGAGCAATCTGCAATTAAAATTTCATCAAGATGGCGAGTGAAATATTTGTTGAGGCATATATCCAAAAGTAGAGACCAGCATTACCTTAAAGACTTGATCTTTGACTGGAGATTTCACATACTTGGTCAACGTTGTACAGCAAAACAACATCACCAATTCCTTATCAGGAAATGGTGTCCTCTCCAATAAATTTAAAGTGCACTTACCCAGATGGATGACTAACATCTTGTGCAACTTCTCATACGAATTAGAATCCAACTCCCTGAATCAATAAGTTGTGTAAATAGGCAATTTAGTACCTCACTTCAGTGCAACGGGTACAAAAGAGTGGTTGTGGCAAAAACGAGACTAACCCCAAGAAAAAAACACTCTTAGAGGGCATTTTGAAAATTGAAAATAAAATACAACTCAGAATTATAACTTATAAGATAACTGACAGTCGAAACAGCTTGAGAGAAGCAGTAGCTTCTTCACGTAAGATGTCATCCTCCCTCAATGTACAATGAGAGAATCCAAGATAGCTATTCTCTCTAATTTTTAAAATGTTAAACATGTACAATCGAGGAACTCAATCTAAGTTTACAGAGTTCGGAGATACACACCAGACCAGTTTTGCCAGCTAGACAGCAAAACTGATGACTAAGTTGAACACTAACTAATTACAGCGTTTCTCATCTGATAGTAAACTAAGAGTCCACGTTTTCACAGGCTAAGCTATAGCAAACTGTAACAAACACACATAAAGAAGCACAATATAAAAATTATAGGCAGCAACAGAATCTATAAACAGTGTTTCGTACCTGAGCCAAGGAGTTACTTCCTCCACCAACTGAAGCACCTTCCTGAAATGAACATCTTTAGCCAAACCCGCGGATGCACACCTCACGAGGCTCACAGCAATATTAACTACCAACGAGCATAAGTCTTTACCATCTCCGCAGCCCTTATCTATTTCAGGGAGAAGCTTGTCCTTCGTCTTCACCGGTCGAAGCTTCTCCAGAAGCCTTAAACCCTCCACTTCGGCTTCAGCGAACAGGGCGCAGGACTCGAGGCAGTTCATCAAGCGAAGTCTCTGGAATTCGACGGAAAATGGCTTGGATGCCAACTGAGAACAGACGGTGTCCAAGCAATCGAGGCAGAGCCTGTACACGCGAAACAGTTCGAGGAGCAAGACGCCGTCGTTTGACTTGGATATCTCGGGAATACGTTTGGGGAGGATGGATAGGGAGGAGTTGAGGAAGGAGAGGAAACGCTTGGCGAGGGAGCGAATTAGGGTTGGGTCGGGGTTGGATTTCTTTGTTGACTTGAGATCCGCGAGGGGGCGGAGATAATCGGAGACTAGGGCGTGAATGCCGGGAGAATCGGAGGACTGAAGCTTGGAGATGAGAGATGCTTCGGAGGGAGAAGCCATGGGAAGAGAGAGAGTGAAGTTGGAGTTCAATGGATGGAAGAAGCGGAAACAAGGACTCAGAGCTCAATTCGCAGGGCGCCAACAACACTCCTCTTCCATTTTCATTTCAAACTTTGGGAATGAAACAACGGTCTTTTCTTTTAAATAAAAAAAATACATATATATTAAGATAGCAAAATTGCCAACAAAATTCCAAAAATATATTTTTTCTCCTATTTTCTGAAATATTTGTTTTTTCTAAACAAATATATTGGTGATGCAAAATAATAATAATAAATATTTGTATATATTTGCGTTGTAATATTATAATAAATGTTACTAACAACTGGCTTACACAATTATTTGTATTTTTTAATTAAGTGGTTCAGAGTTTAAATCCTTATTAATACTTAAAACGTGGAATTAGCCATGTTATGTTAACAGAAAAGAAAAAAAAGTTGAGGTGCTAGTCAAATTTTCTAAAGATGAATAATTCGTACAGTTAAAAAATTTATATAAGTTATATTTTAAAATAGTTTGATTGAATTCAGTATGTTATAATTACGTAAATTAAAATTATTTATGTATTTTTCTTAAATTAATTTAAAAAAAAACGCAAAATAAATAATTTTGACGTGTTGTTTTTAAAATGTAAAGGTTCTTATGTTATTTATGCATAGATGATACATCGATAGCTGATTAATCTAAAAAATAAATTTAAATCATACTATTTTTTGTTCACATGCATTGCATTGCCTTATTTATATTATTAGAAATTAATTTCCAAAAACAATTTACAAATTATTTTCAAAATTATGTTATGTCATATTTTTTTGAAAGTAAATTTAAAAATAAAAAATATTTAATATTTTCAAACATACAAAACTTTAAATATATTAAATATATATTTTACATTAAACATTTGGATGTAAAACAAAAAAGCAAATTGACGGACAAAAACAAATGGTACAACATTTAATGGGCTTCTAAAAAGCCCATTTCAAATACTCAAAGCCCAACCCGGAAAGAGGAGGTAAATACGGAGTCTCGTATGATTCCAGCGTCACGAAACCAAAACCCTACAAAGAGAAGTTGCAACTGCGAAAGGGTTAAGCAAAGAGAAAGAATAACAACTTCAAAATGCCAAAATCAAAGAGAAATAGACAAGGTATGAGTGTTTCGTTTTACTCTCAATCTTCATCCTCTAGTTTGTTGTCGTTGTTATTTTTGCGTGTGATGGAAATTGGAAGCGAAGACGATGGTTTTGTTGACGTATATGAAAAAACGCAGTTACGCTATCGAAGACGAAGAAGAAGGGAAGGGACCATAAAGAGACGATTGTGAACGGAATAAAGGAGGCAGCAGAAAAGTACGCGTGTGTATACGTGTTCTCGTTCGAGAACATGAGGAATCAGAAATTCAAGGAGTTTAGGGAACAGTTGAAATCGAGTAGCAGGTTCTTTCTCGGCTCTAACAAAGTAATGCAAGTTGCTTTAGGTCGCTCTGCTGCCGATGAGATCAGTCCTGGCCTTCATAAGGTTTCCAAGGTTGCATTCTCACTTCTCTGTCAAGTACCAATTGATAACCTCTATTTTATTTTTGTTGTCTAATTATATACTTTTTGTTCTTTAGCTATTGCGTGGAGATGCTGGCATGTTTTTTACAAACTTGTCTAAGGAAGAAGTTGAAAGGTAACCTAGGAAAAACTGAAAATAATTTTCTATGGTATTATCGTTGTATATTACCAATGTATGTGTCTGTTTTATTTTCTTTCTCTGTATATCATTTTTGAGGTGTAGAAGGCTGAAAGTGTAGTTATATGTAGTGTAATGAGCAAAATTATAATTGTTGTGTTAGACATATTTTTGCGTTCTGTGATTTGCAGATGTAATTATGTAAATTTATCACTTGGTGTATCTTAGTTGAGAAAGTAAAATTGTTGAAGAAAGGACAGTTTGTTGCTATTAGCATTTTTCAACTCTGCAGTCAATCTAGGAGGCCCGTTTTCTTTCTCACTCAGATTTGATTTTTGTTGGTGTCATTTGCAGGCTATTTAAAGAATTTGAAGAAAATGACTTTGCAAGAACTGGAAGCATTGCAACTGAAAAGGTGTTTAGAGCCTATTTCTGTTTTAACTTCTGACTCTCTTTTTTTAATGCGAAGGCTGTGGGATGGAAAATATCGGGTGATATCGGGTTATGAACCCAGAATTATCTTCCTAGACCATTTGCCTGTCATAACCATTAGATATACTTCGTTCAATTCTAAACTATGAATTAAAACTTACTTTCACTGTCTGAGTGTTATAGGTGGATCTCAAAGAGGGGCCCTTGGAGCAGTTCACGCATGAGATGGAGCCTTTTCTCCGGAAGCAAGGCATGCCTGTTCGGTTAAATAAAGGTAATTTATTGCATTGTGTTGTAATTTCGTCAATGCACCTGGTCAGTGGACATGCATCATTGGTTCTTCCAATATTTGCAGGAGTTGTGGAGCTTGTTTCCGATTTTGTTGTTTGCGAGGAAGGGAAGCCCTTGTCACCTGAAGCTGCACGTTTACTGGTTAGTTTTTTCTTCCTGAATCATCCATGGCACTAGTTGTAACAAATTTACAAGAACGGTAAGACCTTTTTGATTGGCAACAACTATCTTTTCCCCCTTCTGTCCTCAATTTTTGAGGAAATACTGCGTCAATGAAATTTATGCTAGTAGTTTTTTGCCTCTTTGAATTCCTAACACCTTAATAATTAATTTTTGTCCGTAGTAGTCATGCACGTCGTCTCAGTTATATCATACCTGTGTCAATTTAGCTAGTACTCTGCATATTTAGAGTGTTGGTAATTGAGACTATAATGATGGTATACCATGTGCTCTGTAAGATTGCGAAATGGACATGCTGACATAATTAGCGTTTGCTCTTAATTGCAGCGTTTAATGGCAATCAAGATGGCTACATTTCGACTACACCTAATTTGCAGGTGGAGTCCCGATGAGTTTGAACTGTACATCGATGGACCGGATGAATCAGATGTTGAATGCTCATAATAGCTCTGTCAACCCGTCTGAAAATGTTTAGAATTACAAGATGCATTAGCGATTTGCGGCTACAGGGCTATAGCGGATATTGGATATCGTATTTTAAGAAGAGTTGATTTTTGGGAATGTTACCAATTTTGTGAACTAGGCTGAGTGGGTTTAACAGGGAAGTGGCGCATAGCCATTGTCTGTAACCTTATGAAAAAGTCAAATTACTATAATGCAGTTTAGATCGATCGTTTTTTTTTTTTTGCTGATGATATATAATTGCTATCAATTTGGAATTGTACTCGCATTTCAATTTTAAGTCAATCAAGATAATCATCCTGTTATTTTTTGTCCGAATTTGGAGAGATGTATAATGTACTGCCACACATAACAAAAGGAGAGGAATGATATATAAACAATCATTTTTTACCAAACATTTATTTTAACAATTATTTTTGTATTTTTATGTTATTTATCTACTTTATTTCATTTTCTTCAATTATTTTAAGATTATATATTGGTTGTTTACAAATTTATGTGTACAAAAATCTTTCCTCTTACAAAAGATCATGGAGTTTCTGTACTTCTACGGAAAACAGGATATACTTAAACAAATCAAATGGTTCATCTGTAGTAATATAAAATTTTACAAATGGTTCATCTGTTTAACATAGAATTTTACGTGTAGATAGTAGAAATTTGCTGGAATATAAACAGTATATGCATTATAACTTGTAAATAATTAATTGTAGATAAACGTAACAACAAAAATAATAGTAACAAGAAACAATTTCGTAACTAAAACATAATGATGAAAACAAAATTCTAAATATAGTGGCAGAAGTTTGTAGCATTCTCTATATAGTAGCGAAAAGCTGAAAATGTAAATGGTTAGTATGCAAACATAAAATAGTTAGTAAACAAGTTCGTAACTCATGATGCATTGAGACTCGCTTAACTTGTTCTTTTATACACACAAACTATTCCAACAATCGAAGAGATTTCGAACTCCACAACTTTGAGGTTGAAAAAAGGATACAGAAATTTGACCATCAGCACGTGCAATCACTTGTTTGTCACTCGTTTGTTACATTAATTCCATACAGAACAAAAGGTATTCTAAAACAAAAAATATGAAGATGTTCTACTCCGATACAAAATTTTACAACACTTCTTGAGAAGGGTTGTGGCACGCGTAAGACTTGGAAACCCAGCATTAAAAACAGTGTAACTGCGGTTAAAAATGTTAGGAGATCATTCCCTTTTATCCTCCTCTTCTGACTCGTCATCTTGATCAAAGGATCCATCAGTTCGTACATTCTTCTCTTGCCGAGCTAAACTTAATTCCCCTTGACCTTCCTGTTTTTCCTTAGTGAGAGACTGAGCTTCTTCGTCATCCGAATCTTCTCCCACTTTCTCCGAATAAGCATACCTATACATAGATTGCAGAGACAAATCAACAAATGAGTCATACATTACAACATGAAATGACATGATAATTTTGTATCTTCACTCCTACAACTAGCCAGTAGCTACACAACATTAGCATGACATAAATTAAAGGTAAATTTTGCACAGGAAGACTGCTCTGCCTGTGGACAATATAGGTTTCCTTTCATCACATGGCAGTCTCATCAGGAGACATAAATTTCAAAAGCTTGTAGCCCAATTGTTGTTGAGATTCATTTAACGAATCACTTGACAAGATAAGTACAACCAATGATAATTGTGGGGAAGGAAATGTCATGTTTCAACGACAACAACAAAAGCCTTTATATCAGTAGGGAATAATTCACCTTTGTGAACTTAGGGATGGGGCCCAGAGATAGCATATAACACAGAGTAATGCAAATGCTATAACGTCCCAGAATGTAGTGATGATCCAAGCACTCTGCCACCGCTCATTGAAAGGATCTGTAGCTTTAAAGTATACCTGTAGAAGAAAAAAATAGTAAGAGTGATTGCCAGCCAGATAACATTGAAAGATAGAAGCAATATGACAGTAAAACTCCTCACTAAAACATCATTTCACAACAATTTATAGTCAAATAGCGATATAAATAATCTCAACAACAATTAAGTGCAACTCAAATATAATTAAAACCCGCTATAGATACAGCCCTACAATATTCCTTTTAAATATTCAAAAGCAATGAATCCATATAGTCACCACTGAATTTGTACAGCATTTGACCAATTTTCCTCTTAGAAAGCAATGTCCTTGTGGTCTCCTTTGACCACACATTTTCCTCTTGTTCAGTTAGTTGATAGAGTGATTGCTGAGAGTTTTGTCGCTTATGTGTATGAGATCCGCTGGCAATGATTTTTTAAGCTGCAGCTTCTCTACTAATAGTTGGTGTTCGAGATATTTCACCCACAAAATAACAAGTCATATCCCAATAACGCACACTGTTTCCCTTCTTTCCTAACAAGATCAGTGTTATCCAAAGGACTTGAGGCATCTACCTATATGCAGCATTGAGGTATAGTAGGTTATCAGCTTAATACCTTGCATATACCAAGGCAGAAACCCCCTCAAAGATGCTTTATAAATGCTCACACATCTGGCTAATATAGGATTACGTATAAAGTGGATGAAGTACCTGTCATTTTTTTTTTCCAGGAAAATAATGACACAGATTCCGAAGTTTGAACCAGTGGGATATTTGAATCTATTACACCAAAATGAAGCTTAGGAAACAGAAGACAAACTGACACAAACACAACCATTCCATCAAGTTTGTTGGAGTTTGCCAGTTGCCAATCATGACAGGAACCAGAACAAAAGACAGGCTCATTTCAGAGGCTTAAGAGCTCTCAGCTGGAACATATTGGATTAACTGTGTTTTGTGGTATTTTGGATCCTTCCTGTAAGCTTGAATACTTTGGAACATAGTTCCTGACTACTTTTGAGGAATACAAATATGAAGGGATAGGTTCAGTACCAACATGCAAAGATTAGGGGTAGAATACAAAAAGAAAGCTTGAAAATGGCTAGTAAATTAAAGTATGGATCAGGATTTATTTTTTCTTAACTTAGCACAACAGTATCCAAACAGTGAAATATGAATATCAATATTTTTTATTTTATTTTTTAATAAAACATCAATTTCAGTTATTCATTACAAGAAGTACATGTTATTTTTGTGCAAGATAAAATAAATTGATTATAAGCCTTACCTCATAACCTATCCAAGCAACTGAGGAGATCACTGTTACTGCTAATGCATTTGAGAATTTCCTATATATATCCAACTTGACAGAACTTCGTTTTGCCTGACACGCGCATGAACACAAATGAAACATATTGAAGAAGCAAGTTAGTAAGCGATTCAGAAAGACAAACTTAGAGGTATGGTGCTCCAAAATAATAGCAATTTGAGGAAAAGATACCTGTAACTGCTCCAGTGTTCTTGAAAGTGATGTAAAAATCCATAATATCAAAAATGCATCTAAGAAAGCATCAGGAAGAACAAGAAGGAGCCTTGCCCTTCCTGATACATCATTGATGGTCCCCACATATTCAGTAATATTCAACAATTCTGACGCTAGAAAGTAAGTTATTCCAAGTAAAAGAACCTTTGACGTAAGACCACCAAGAGTGGGTCGCACAACACCATAACCCATTGAAACAGAGAGAATGAGAAGCCGTGATATTGTTTTTCTTATAGCCCCAACAGTGACAACCCACGTTGTGAGCACAATAGGCCTCATTCCACTATTGTTGAAATTGACATACTCAAAATACCAGAGAATCATCTCAAACAATCCAAGAGCAATGACAGCTGTGATACAGTGCTGAAGCTGAAGTACATCATCCCAAAATCTCACATACTGAAAAAACCAAACGATGCTAAGACCGATATAAGCCAGTGCCATAAATACATAGAACTTCTTTAATGGGGCCATCCTACCAGGTAAATACCCATCAGGGTTTTTCCATATTGTCTTCCCACTCATTACCATGTCCTTGAGCTTGGGGTCACAAGCTACAAAAAACAAATTATACATTCCAGTCTTTTTGATGGAAACTTTTTGAGAAACTAGACTTGAAATTACGGATTTGCCTTTAAATTGTACGTCTAAAACAACTGGCCAATTAATGTCTGTTGCAGAAGGTCTCCTAATAATCTCTCCTTGCTTACAAACTCCCATCTTAGCTAAATCAGGAGTGCAACAGATTGCCCGTTGTCCACCATAAGCAGAACCACCAATATCATTTCGATCAGCAGACTCAAAAATTATGATGTGTACTGGCACAGAACCACGTGCCTTGGCTGCAGCTTTGGGTCTCCTAAAGGTTATGTTCTCAAATCTATCCACCAATGAAAAAGTTAGTTGTGCACTCAAGGATTATGTAAGAAATATAAATTATTAATTTCATATGCAACTTCTAAAATTTCAAAGAACAATATTAAAGATACATATTTTTCATGCTACAATGTTGGGGTTTCCTCATTGATGCATATCTTCCCTACTTATTAGTCTGTTGGTTCATAAAGATCACAGCAGTATTGTGAGTAAGTGTAATGCTATATGCTCTTATAAATCCTCCTAATACTTTAAGAAGAAAATGTTAATGAAAAAAAAAATACATTTCACGTCCTGGAAACTGAAAATGCATTCAATACTTTCTTGATGAGTGCTAACAAGCACTCTCAACTACCGTTAAAATTTATTGGAAACTACAAAGTATAAGTAAAACTCATTAAATAAGTGAAACCCACAAAACTTTGTGATATACAATAAATTTCATCCAATAATAGTATGTCAGATAGCGAATGGCCACATTTCTCTACTTACCCATTAGGAGGAAGATTTTGCAGGAGCAACTGGAATCATTCTTTGTGGAAACTAATGAAGAAATTTAACCTAACTAAGAGTTCATATTTTACCTTAGCAGCACTTTTCACAAATAATGCATATATGATTCTAACTTCTAACAGATTAACTCATCAGTCCAGGCTCCGGAGGATGAAAACGCTGAGTAGGACTAATTTTGCTATGCGCTCAATTTATCTCCATTCCATCAATTAGTGTAGTTTCCCCCTATTATACGTAAACCGTATATTTTCCTTCAACTCGTTAGGAATTCATGAATCCATCTAAATCAGCCATAAGTATATCACGAATTTCAATTTTTGTCCCTCACAGTACCAAACTCAGTAAAATCGAGCATGTAAGGAGTTATGCCACGAATGGACCACTCTCACAACTGAAATCACGAGAGAGAGAGAGAGAGAGAGAGAGAGAGAGAGAAATTACTGGATGTAAGAATTGCCGTCAAGGATGGAACTGCCTTGGGAAGCGGTGGCGAATGCAGCGACGATGCCTTCGCTGCCACCGGCGAGGAGGTAGGCATTGCCGACTTCTTGGAAAGGTTCATGATCGTAGATGTGGATGGATGCGAAGGTGGTAAGTGTGATGGAAGACAAGAATATGTATACGAGTGAGACTGTGAAACGCATGGATCTCGATCTAGCTCTGGCAAACGCTGAATCCATGCCGATACACACTTTCGCTCACTCACTCAGATTGGATCGCCGAAAAGAATGCGAAGAGGGAGAGAGAGAGCGAGAAAGAGAAGGAGACATGTCGGTATGATACGTTGCAACGTCACTCTCCCTGGAACGGACGGGAGTAGACGCTAGCTTCACGCGCGGATAAATCACGTCATCAACCTTTTATGCACATCTCATTAATGCTTAAAAAGTGTAAAAAAATAGAGCGAGTGAAAATAAAAATACAATAATTTTGTATTTATTCAATTGGAAAATACTGAAAATTGTGTTCATAAAAATGTAAAAAATAACATTAGTATAAATCTATATTTTCATTGTCGACCATTTAGTCTATAAATAAATTTAGAATACATTGAACATTTATGGATTGATATTATATATAAGATGAAACTTATATTTTTAAAAATAAAAATAATATTATTTTATAATATATATATATATATATATGTATATATAATTTATATATTAAAATTATATATTTTATTTATTATTTTTTAAAACAGGATAAAATGACCTATTAGACATTGAAGATAGGATGCAAACCTAAAACCACAAATTATTTTAAAATATTATCTAATTTTACCCAACACAAATATTTTAGGTAATTCTTCGGATTGGATTAGATTTTTTTTTGACACAAAAATACATTTCATGTATACATCTAATTAAAAAAAAGGTTGAGAATAAATTTACAATAAATGTTTTTTTTCAAGTTGATATTTATAAAGTACAAGTTATTTTACTTAAACAAGTTTTCCTTATCAAAATTGATTTTAGATAAATAAATCATTTGAAATCAAGTTTACAAACTCTACATTGGTGAGAGTTTTATATTTTTAATTAGTTTTCAAATATATTTTTCAAAATAAAACATATATTTGACTCAATTTTTTTAAAAAAAACTCTTACATATGTATTTTCAAAACAGATGAAAACAAGAAAAAAAAAACACTCTCATTGTATTTGACAGTCTCTTCTTCTACTTGTAACCATTAATTATTGTCATGATTACCACGTTATAAATACATTATTCTCATCAAACACTAGTTTTTTTTTGGAGGAAGAAAGTTAAATATGCTCGCGCAGTGATAACTTGTCGAATACTAGTTCTACATAAAACACAGTTGTTGTTCCATATATTGATCTTCTGCAAGCTAAGACTAAGTGTTAATTAAATACTAACCTCAGAAATGAAAACCTCAATGAATCGATACCTTTCCAAACCTAGTTGAAAGGCAATAACAATACGATCAAGTTGGTCTACATACAAAAACAAGCATCAATCATTCTCCCAGTTCACACAGTCATAACAGCATGGACCCAAATAATTTGCAGTATCATGCAAAATGAAAGTGCACAGTTCAGAAATGAAAATCTGAATCAGGGTGCCGTTGCAGATGATTGAGGTTGCGCTTGTTCATTTGTTGAGGAGGAGCATGACAATGATCCGGGATCTGTCTTAAGAAGAACAACTCCAAGTCCTATCTCATTGCTGGGTATGAAGTGGTTGACGTTATACACCAATATATCCTCTTCTGGGGATGACTCATTTGGTTGCTTTTCACTTCTACACAAACTCAGAAGCTGCTTGTGAAACATCTCCATTGGTGTCATCTGCCTGTACTCCACCCTTGACCGTTTCCTTGTTGGGGTGTTGTTCCAAAAATCTGAATTTGTCACAAGTTAATAGTTGCACTGTGCATGTACCTTACTATACATAGTCATGGACTTAAGAATTTGAGAGTGGAATCATAGAATACAATACAATATATGTATGCTCGAAATGAGATGAAAAGTGATACCTTGTTCTGATATATGATTGAAATCTGGGCTTGACTTATTGATGTTTCCATGAACATGGTCTGAAAGTTGGTCCCCAAGGTTGGGATGAGTTACACCATAGTTCTTGTAGTGTTTGGGGAGATAATTATCAAGGTGCCCTTTCAACTTGTATCGCGATCCACAAGCGTTGCACAACACAGGTTTCTCGGCTGGCCCATTACGCCAAAGTGGTGTAGCTTTTCAAATTATATTTGTTTTACTTGTAAGTAAATGTTTTTTTTTAACTTTAATATTTTATAATTTAAGTAAATAGAATATAAATAACTTAAATTTATTGTCAAATATTTTTAAAATATATATTTTAAGCGTATAAATAATTGAAAACAATTAAATCTGTTGCAGTAAAAATTATTTGTCACAAGAAGACAAAAAATCTAATACTTAATGATATAGTTACATCTTTTAACAAAACATTAAATAATATTTAAGAAAAATAATTGAACATTTTTTTAATACTTTTATTCAAACTGTTTTTTTTTTCCTTGTTTTAAATTAATACAATTCCCTCAAATAATAACAACAAAACAGAAAATGCACATCACATGATTTTGCTTGCTTTTGTCAAAATTCAACTTGTGTTGAATTTAGTCAAGTCAAAGTAACAGAGATAGTTTATATTAAAAAATAATATATTTAAATTATTTAAAAAAAAAAACAAGTCTATTCATATTCTCTTTTAAGTTATAATAACTTATAATGAACAATTAATTATATTATTTATGGATGGAAGAGTATCATTAATGTTTTTTTATCAATCTTTTACATTAAAATATTAATATTCCTTAAAAATTGTTGCTTTTGTTTCTTTTTTTCTATACTTGTTTTTCTTTAAAAATAATTTTTTTACTAATATTATTTTCAATTTTTTAAAATTTTTTTATACTTGTATCAATTCACTTTATATGATCAAGAAGAATAAGAATGATGATAAACACCTGCATTTCTCTATCTTATAACACAATTATACATTTTTCTCCCAGTGTTAATAACATATTAGTGTTCGTATTTTTTATTTCTTAATAAACAATAATATATGAACAACAACAATAATAATAAAATCTAACAAAATATTCCAATAACCACAGAAAGAGAGAACTTACTCTTAATTCTGCAATGCGAACATGGACCTTTCTTAACCATGACTCATTGATTGCTTTTCTTTCCCATCTAAAACACACACACAGAAATAACTTAGCATAGGATCATCTTCATGACCCAGAAATTGAAAACAATTAAGAAAGGCTTCTTCCTTCTTCAAACGATTAAAACACAACTTTTATTTTCTTTCTTCGATCGCTCCAAGAAAATAAAGAAAGAGAAAGTAGTTATCTCAGAAAGAAAGAAAGAAAAAAATTAAATAGAACAAAATCAAATATGTTTGATTTAAGAGAAAAAAAGATAGAAATATAAAAAGTTTAAACAGTAAAAGCTTAATAATGTTATCTTTTAAATAATAACTATATATAATTTATTAAAATATAAATGTAACGTGTAGTTTTATAATCAATTACAATCAATTATGTCTTTTAACCGTGCAAATTTCTCACACACGACACTAAAGTTTTCAATAGTTTGTCCGACATAATAATATAATTTTATTAATTCAAAAGGTTTTTTTTTTCTCTACCACTTATTATTATAATATACTGTAATGTAAAGAATTATTCCAACTATAAAGGGTTATGTATTTATAATAATGTATGCAAAATTTGTAAAAGTCAGGTTAAAAAATAATAAAATGGAAATTATTTATAAATAAGAATTTAGGAACAGGAAGGGAATACAAAGGAAGATTAAAAAAAAATCCTCATCTATATTTCTTTCTTATAACAAAAAAATTATATATTTTGCAGAATCATTATAATTTTTTTCCGTGTCTTTACTAATTTTCTAATAATGATCCTTCCTCTCTTTAAAATTAACCTTGTTTTCAGAGTTATTCTGCTTAAACTTTTTTGGTCAATGTTGTTGATGGTATAAATTGAATTAAAATCTAAGTAATATTTGTGCTATAATCTCAGTCCATGTACTAAAATAATTTAAGATAGTATCAGAAAAGTAAACGTATTTATGTGCGATAGTAACATGACTTGATTTGAATAAATTTTAGAACTAAGGCATTCATATAAGCAATAATCAAATTTTAAATTAATCTACGTGTAAACTCTTGTTAAAATAAAATTAATATTATATTATTTTCACGATGACAGTTTTACCTGTATTTTTATTTATTTTCCTACAAATAAATGTACAAATCCTTCAATTTATTAAAAAAAATCAGTTTTTAATTTTCAATGTTCTCTTCTTTCTTTTATATTTTGTGTTTTAGATGTTCAATTTTTTTATTGAGCATACCCTTTTGATTATTTGGTTTTTCTGTGTGTTTAATTATTTTGTCATACACTTGATACGATATCAATAACTAATATTCGATATCGAAGCATATCCAATAATCTACATATTTTAATGTCAACAATAATATTTCATTAACTTTATGAAAATATTTTGTATACATATTACGTACATCAGGATGAAAAATACTTACCTTTTAACACAAACTCCTTTAAGAATATTCTCAATCATAATCAAATTAATAATAAAATAAATTTTATATTTATAATATTGTATGCAAATATCATTCTACTAATAAAAAAAAACTAACAGAAATAATAATAATAAAAAAAAACAGATTGTTAAAAAGAAAAAATAATAAGAAATACTCATTCATGTCATTATGTCATTATCTCGAAAACTTATCCACAAATTTCTCTTTTATATTATTATTTCCTTTTTTGACATGATTTTTTTATTTCTTTTTCTCTACTAATTTTTATTCATTACATAATGTAAACAATAAATTCTGTACTATCCTCATCTCATTTTGATTTTAATAACTAATTGAGGTAATTAAATTTAATAAGTTTAACCTTTTATTTATTTATATTTTAAAATTTAAGATAATCTTAATTATTATTTTTTTATGGACAACAAATGTAAATTACGAAGACATGAGAAATAAAGGGCATAATAGAAAATCAATCCTCCCTCTATTTTTATTTAATTGTCAGATTGTTCAATACAACATTAATTCTTTTTTTAACATTATAATGTTATCCTCCATCTAATATTTATTAGTTTTAAATTTATTGTAAATAATAAATAAATTTTATAATTTTTTTATTAAATTTAAAAATATTTATTTATTTTTTAAAAAAAATTTAAAGGACACTAACAAATGAAGGGAATTTTCATAAAATCAATTTAATTTATTATGTACTTCTTAATTTGCATAAGATAAATTATGACAAATAAAAAGAAAGTTATAAAATATTATATAACTTTTATTTAAATATTAACTTTTACACTAATTAATAATATGTTATTTATTATAGAATTTTATTATTAGATAGTAACATTAAATATTGTATTACTATTATTAATGTTCACTTTTTAAAATTAAACATCTTAAAAGATATTTCATGCATAATAAATAAAAATATATTTTTATAAATGTGTAATTAATTTTTAAATGACTTTTGTTTTAATTATAAATTTAGTATATAAAATTATAAATTAATTTGTTTAATAAAAAAAGTTGTCCATATGTCTTAATTTTTTTTTATCCCTCATAATTATCTTCTATTATTAGAATGACTCTGATGAAGTTTTTAATATGATATGAAATTCAATGTTAATTATAAGAAATAGGGATTTGATTTACAAGAGACCAGAGTAAATTATTTTTCTTTATTTGATATGTTAATTGAATATTATATTTAAATTCCTATTTAATGTAATTTAAAATCTCATTTGAATCCCAAATATATTTTTGTTTGGATTTAGATTGGAAAGTGAATTTAAATAAGTGAAAAAAAAATTGAAAGAGTATAAAAAGTGGAGTTGTTTGGATTAAAAAAAAAAGAATGAGAGAAAAATAAATAAAATTATTTATTATTTTAATATTATTTTTATTATTATTTTATATATATATATATATATATATATATATATATATATTAAAAGTATAACAATTTTTAATTATAATCATCTTATGAGATAATCATAATTGATTGTGTTTGAAAGGTTAATTTTCTTTTTATAAGAAATTTTCGGTTATCTTTACAATTCTAGATCACCTATTTAATATTTTTGTTAAAAATGGACGCATAAATAAATAAATATAAAAAAATTAAAAAATAAAATTATAAATATATAAATAAATATATTTAATAATATGATAAAATTATAAATGTACAAGAAAATTATAAAATTTTGAAAAGAAACATGGACACTGTAACGACCCTAGAAATCGTTACTATAATGATGTCTTCACAAAGTAGTAAACAAGTAAATAACGACATTTATTTTACATTATGTTACTATAATTGTAACATAGATTGAAATTCGATTCACTAACGGAACCTCAAGATATAGTAACATAATTTATTTATATATTATACATGTAAAAGTAGCTCCCTCGAAGTTATCCCATCGAACTATCCTCGTTGTCCGAGTAATCACATCTCCATCTCTCAACTCCTGATCTGCTCCCACATAAAAGTAATCATCGCAGTCCCATCCACATGGAAAAATAGGGGTAAGTATTAAATCATTCGATATAATAAAACAGATATAGAAGTAATAATTATATATTATGATCAATTACAAAATTATCAACACACTAAGACATCTTCCGGAAGTATACCCTAACTATGCCCGAACTCAGAGGCTATCATCTGTGGGCACAATGTGATCGGTACCCGCAGTACCATTCTCACCACCCTCCACACAGAGTAGGATTACTGGCGTCTTTCATCACTCATACTGGAGTACCTCTCCGAGCGCGCCACCAGTCATCCCCCATCGACTTCTCACCCACCTGATCTCGTAGTCTACCTGACCCGACCAATCAGTGAAGTCTGGGACCTCATTCAGAATCCTTCGACATAGTTATTACACTAATGTACTCTGTATCACCCCGGGTACCATTCAAACATAACAAAAATTATTCACATTTGCCGGATTCTGGACCACCTGTCCTCACGGCTCATTCAGGTCAATAAAAATAGGATTTGACTGATTCTGGCACCAACCCTCCGGCTCAGTCTAGCCAATATATAACGTCTCAGGAGTGATTCTGGGCATCAGCCCTCAGGCT